TTCTGGGTCCCCTGTGGGCAGGTGTTTTTGCTAAGAAGTGGGATGGAATAAAGGCGGCTGTGGCTTCATTGGGTGTGGCTGTGGGGCCAAAGCTGAAGGAGGGTTTGGTGCACAGAAACACAAGATGGCTTGGGACAATGGCCTGTCTGAGAAGGCTCCGGTCACAAGGTGCATCCTGAAGCAGGGACAGCTAACAGTTGCAGATCATATTAATCGAGGTAGAAAGACCAGATCGAAGGAGATGAGAGTGTACTGTGTGTTGCTCCCAGAGTGAGCTGGTTTAGAGCATGTTGATTAGCTTAGTTAACATAGGAGGTGAGCCACAGCCCTGGGGGTGGAGGGTCTCCTGACTGCCTGGGCAGACAAGGGGGGCAGCCATAGGCTTACCTGCTGGAATGGGTGAATGGCTGGGGCCAGGAGGATAAACTGTGTTGTCTGTGTGTGTGTGTGCCAGAATAACTGGATGGGGATGATCATGCCTCGCAGGTGCGGGGCTGGCAGGTGCTGTGTGGAGCAGAGATGCGCTGACAGGCAGGGAGACAGGTAGTGGAGTGGTACTGTCTCACAGTGGCCTGGGGCAGCCAGGGAGATGAAAGCACAGCAGTAGAATGGTCCCCTGGGGGTCAGCTCCTTGAAGGCTCATGACCACCCCATCATGCCGGGATTCCTGCTCCAGGGGTGAAGCTGGAAGCTGGGGCCCAGAGAAGGTGCTCCTCTTTCCGAGGGCTGCACAGTGTGAAGTGGGGCGTGTGCACCAACAGGCAGACCTCTCGGACCTGAGGGCTAGCTCGGGGCACTGTGGCCTGACCACGACCATGGCTACGACCTCACTGTTCCCAGTGGCTGCTAGAGCTGGGCCGCCCCTTACATTTGGGTGTCTGGGCTAGACACTTGTTATACACTGGGGTGGGGTGCTGCGGGCACAGGCTCAGGTCCTGGCTCTCTGTCCACCCCAGGTTCCAATCATCCTCAGGCCCTTGGCCCACCCTGCCCACAGCCACGTGGCTGACGGGATTTCCGCCATGTTTGTGGCATGAATTGACAAGTGCACCATTGACGGGGCAGGGAGGGGGTGGGCAGGGCACAAGCCTCCCACTGTGCCGGGTCCCCACCCTCCCCCGTCCCCCAGGACAATGGCCGAGACTCAGCCAGCAGTCACAGCTGGTGGAGGGGGAGCGCACGCCTGAGCTGGAGGAGGGACGGAAGGGAGGGCCACCTGGGCCCCTGCCTGCTCTCAGCCCACACCTGGCTTGGGTATCCTTGGCTCCTCTTCTGCCCAGCTGGGCGGCCTTAAGGGGAGGAGAAGAAGCTGCCTTCCCCCCATCCAGACTCTAGCCTGCCCCAGGAAAAGGGACCATGTCTGGCTCCTGCTCAAGGCAGGTGATAAAGGGCTAATGAATGAGCAGCCAGGGTGCGTGGCTCCACAGGGCTATGGCAGCACCTGCAGGTCCCCTCCAGGGCCAGGCCCTGCTACAGCGTAGCCTGACTGAGGTCCCACTTCTCCGTTTCTGGTCGTCTACTTACCACTTCACTCTTTTGGTGATTTGGACACCCACGTCCTGCGGAGATGGAATAAGGGATCATGCAAGGTCCAGCTCCGGCCCCTGGGAGATGCAGGCAAGGTACCTGTCCTTTCTGAACCTCTGTTTTCCCATCTGTAAAATGGACACTGCCTCACACCTGCTGTGAGAAGACTACATACGGACAAACATGTGAATATAAATTTGAGCTGTGAGGAGCATGTGCTGAGGGGCTGGGCGCAGGCTGCTGAGGGGAAAGCTGAGACCAGAGGCGAGTGGAAGAGCCCTGTGAGGAAATGGGGGGGGTCTCAGAGATGGCCTGAGTGGGAGATTACGTTTAAACTGAAACCTAGAGAGTAGAGTTAGCTTTCTGGGGCAGTGGGTGAGGGATGGTCCAGGCGAAGGCCCTGAGGTGTGGAGTGTGTTTGTCCTGCAAGTGCTGGGACCTGGGACAGCGTGGAGGAGAGCTGCAGTCAGGGACCGGGAAGCAGGGTTGGAGCTGGCCCCAGGCAGTGGGAAGCTGTCGAAGGAGGCGAGGTGGAGATGGGGAGTGTGGCCGCTGGCTGTGGCCTCGTGGTGTCACTTCACTGGGCGTGGAGCCGGGTTCAGCTGTTGTTGAGTTCAGCCTCACCCTCCTCCCAGACTGAGATGTGTACTGCACACTCAACCTTGGGGCTGACAGGGACCTGTGATTGGGACCTGTGGTGATGTAGCGGGGCTCTCGTGGGGTGTGGCACCCTCAAGAGTGGGTCCAGGGGACCCTGCCCTCTCCTGAGCTCTCCAGGCAGAGCAGGGAGTGGTGCGGCCCCCCGCTCTGCCTTGGGAATTCCTGTGCTTTGGCAAAGCTCCGCCCTCAGCCCTTGCTCCTGATGTGTTTACTAGAAACCTCTGTGGTGGTTCGAGGGGCAGGCTGAGGGCAGCACAGGGAGAAGATGAAGCCGGCCTCAGAAGCTTCCAGGGAGAAAAAGGTGTGGGGTCTGCGTCTCTCTATCCACCCCCATCCTTGACCCACCCCCACCCTGCCCCATCCACTCCCTCCTCCCTCTTCCGTCCATCCCGTCCCTGGCACGAGAGGGTCCCTCCTCCCCCCGACCACATCTGGTTCTTGTTAGGGTCTCCCAGGATGCCTCTGCCTGAGGCCTCCCCCCATCCCCAGGGAGGTGGGCCGGAGGATTAGGGGTGATTAGAAGTACTGCTGGCCAGGGAAGGAGGAGGAAGAGAGGAGGGGGCTGGGCGTGTTATAAATAGCAGCACAGGACCGCCCAGGCCCATCCTTCACTGTAGATGCCAAGTTCAGCCTCAAAAACCTGCAGCTCCAGCAAGCCAGGGTAAGGGTGACGCCTCAGTGACCCCTTCTCCCTGTCCGCCTCAGGAACCTTCCAGCCTCATTCCCATTGGAGTCCCCTGTCCGTGAGTCCTTGCTGTGTGGGACTGGACAAGAAATGCGACCTTTCTGAGCAGCAGGGATGTGAGAACAACACTGAATTCCCTGTCATTGTGAGCCTGTGCCCTGGTCACTGTCCTGGTCCCCATGTGAGTTCAGAATCACCTTCAGGCGTTAGCAGGAGCTACCATCATTGTCACTGTGCCTGTGGGTGTCACCATCCCAGTCTGGTATCATTCAGTGACCACGCATGGCAGGTGCCTGCAGAATGCTTTTCACATAACAGACTCCCGTTTTTAAACATTCGTTCATTTATCTATTTGAAAGGCAAAATGGAAAGAGAGGAAGAAACTAGGAACCCAGAGATTCATGTAGGTCTCCCATGTAAGTCCAAGGGCTAAACCACTTGGGCTGTCCTCAGCTGCTTTCCCAGGCACATCAGCAGGAAGCTGGATCAGAAGTGGAGCAGCCCTGATATGGGATGTCAGTGTCACAGCCAGCAGCTTTACCTGCTGAGCCCCATGCCCTTGTGTGATGACTGACGTCCTGGGCTCCAGAAGCGCCTGACACACAGTAGGCGTTCAACAGATGGGAACTGTGATTGCCAAGGGGGCATAGTGCAGGGAGCTGAGCAGAGGCTTAGAGTCCCACCCCTCACACAGACTGGGGGTTGTTCCTGGCTCCAGAGGCTTCTCTGGCCTTGGCCAGCCATGGGTGGTGATCAGTTGGTGTTCCTGGTTCCCGCTGGGTGAGCCAGGGGTGGGGGGAATGGGGATAAGGGGGTGGGGGTCAGCCCCAGCCTGTTGCAGGCAGCGCGTGACTCCTAGGAGGGCTTAGCCGCTCATTAATCACCTAAGCGGAGCTCAGCATTCTTGAAATGCCGACCGGGGCCAGGAGGACCTGGGCCAGGGGCTCCCGGAGGACCCCAGGGCTCTGGGGCTGGGAAGTGAGGCCAGGGCACTCCATTTGCCAGGCACCCAGCTTTACATACTTTCACAGGTATTAACCACGACAGTCCCGCAGAACGTTAGCTGTCCAGGGCCCGTGTTACTAAATGGGGAAACCGAGACTCAGAGAGGGGAAGTGACCTGCACAAGGGCACACAGCAGGAGCGGCTGTGCCGGCATTTGTGAACCCAACTTTGCTCTGTTCTCAGTGTTCATTGGGGGAGGGGGTAAGGTGTGGAACCCAAACTTGAGGCTCTTGAGCTGGGTGCCAGGGGTGCTCCTGCTTCAGTGGACTGGCCAGCCCCTGGTTGGCATTGTGGGTGGGGCTGTCCCAATATCAGACTTGACGCATCTCCCACGTCAGCCCCTTTATCACCCCGCCCTCCAGCTCCCCCTACAAGGTGACCCTGGGCGGGAAGAGGCCAGCGCCTCCCCCTGCTGCCCTCAGGGTGCCCAAGAGCTCTGGGAGTCCCTCCCCTTCCTGGGGCTGGGGCCAGGGCAAGTAGGGCGGGCCAGGAGGGAGGTGGGCAGGTGGAGGGATGGGGCTGTAGCTGCCCTCATTCTCCACTGTGAGGCCAGGACCAGCCAGCCCTTGTTCCTGAAGGATACTCAGGGAGGCCAGACAGGGGCTGTGCTAGGCGCTGGGCATTCTGAATCCTCCCACCCATACAACAAGGGTGCTCCTCCAGCCCCCAAATCCACTCCCGCCCCCAGGATGTGAAGTCCCACCCAGCCAGGCCCCTGGCTCCCGTGTTCCCTCACAACGGGCTGCCTAGGACCTATCACTAGAGGACAGGGCAGGACAGCACCCACTAGACACCCACCTCAGCTGCCCCCGCTTGATACCCTATGAGATGACAGATAGCAGCCATGCTCTAGAGATGACAGGACTGGACCTGTCCTGGCCACACAGCTAGACATAGGAGCTTGGAGGAGCATGAGTCGTCCAAGCCCCCAGCTCTGTGCGCTGGACCTCATTCTTGTTCTCATCTTTCTCAAGGTGGCTTTGTGGGAAAAGCACTGCCCCTGCTCCTGCCTGGACACGGACGGGGAGGAGCTGTGGAGGGATGGAGGATTGGGTCCAGCAGTCTAGGAATGGCCTGGGAGGCAACCCCCTGCCCAGCTGACCTCTCGCTCCACCCGCTACAGGCCATGACATCAACGGTGCCCTGGAGCCCTCCAATATCGACACCAGCATCCTGGAGGAGTACATCGGGAAGGAGGATGCTTCTGAACTGTGAGTGTGAGGACAGGGCCTGGGGGAACTTATGATCCCACTGACCGGCACTGTCCACACCTGCAGCAGCTGCACAGGTCCCTGGGATACGGGGCGGCTGCCTCCCGTAGGGTCCTGGAGTCCCGGCTACAGCTGAATTGCACCCCCACCCCTGCAGCTGCTTCCCAGACATCTCTGCTCCAACCAGTGCCGGCACCTACCCCCATGGGCAGCCAGCAGTACCTGGAGCCAGCGGGGTCCACCACCTGAACCCGCCCAGTGGGGGCCTCTCCCCAGGGCGCCATGGGCCCCTGCCACCCCCGAGCTACGGTGCTCCCCTCAACTGTAACAACAACAACGGCATGGGCGCTGGCCCCAAGCCGTTCCTCGGAGGCTCCGGCCCCCCCATCAAGGCAGAGCCCAAGGCTCCCTATGCTCCAGGGTGAGTGAGGGCAGCCAGAGTGGGGCGGGGAGACGGGGAGGAGGAGGCGGGGTGCCAAGAGCTGGGGGCCTGGTGGTGGGTTGCTGTGCGGGAAGGTCAGGGCCAGGCCGGAGGTGGGCACATGGACTTTGTCCTGAAGCAGAGGGCAGCGTAAGTGCTGAGGGCTGACGTAAGTGCTAGAAAAATCTGAGAGCTGTGTGGAGAGTGGACAGGAGCAGGCGGGACTGGAGGCCACAACTGTTTACATTTGTGGGAGCACCTGCACACACGTGCACACTTGCAGGGCGCCTAACACCCACCCCCCGGCCACTGTGCACATGTGGGTTCAACTTGCATTGACCAGGACCCTGGGAGCTGGCCCATGGCTGGAGGGCAGCCTTCAGGTTCCACCAGTCCCAGCCTAGAACTCATCCTGAGGAGGCCTTGTCCTTCCAGGCCCAGCTCTCTGTTCCCCTGGGACTCCACACCAGTGGTCTGGCCCAGAGCTGGGCCTTAGGCTTGGCTTTGGTCAGGGGGTCCAAACCAGATTCCGGGGTCCTGCTTGTGGAGAGGAGCTTAGAGAATGTCCCCTGTCTCTGGGTGGGAGAGGAATGGAAGTGTTGGGGCAGGAGCAGGGTCCAGACAGCTTGGCCTCACTGCTGCCCCATTTCCTGGCCCTCTGTCTGGGCCTCTTTCTTCCTCGGTCAAGTGGGTCTCTATAGAAGTGCTGGGTGGGCTGTGGCCAGGACTGTAGCTTACGGGGCCGGGGGATGCTTGGGATGCCAGGATGAGCCTTTGCTGCAGAAGTAAGTGGTCTGAGTGTGGCTCGGAGGTGGTCCCCTAGCCACAGGTGGAAGGGAGGGAACACGGAGAGAAGACTGATGTTATTAAGCACCTACTGAGTACTGAGGATTCATCAGCCTTTTTCAGAAGCCGATGCTGAGGGCACCCACGTGGGGCCTTGGCTGCTGCTCATAGCCTGAAATTGGGGGTTGGGTGGGTGATGCTGCTTGTCCAGAGCCACTCAGGGGCCTGTGGTCAGGCCCCGCTGTAGGTGATACCCAGGCCAGAGTTCCATCCACCGTTGTGGTTTCAGCTGCCTAGCTGTGGGAGATCCTAATCAGTGGCTTCACCAGAGGAATGGCCAGGGAGAGGAAGCCAGCTCCTAGCGACTCAGCCTTTGATTGTAAGGACTAAAGAGGCTGGGAGACCTTGAGCCAAACTTCAAGAAACCTTGCAAGGCAGCTCTCGGAAAGTGCAGGGAGTGGGCAGGAGATGGGCTTAAAGCAGGACAGGCCCTAGGCCTCTGTGCACGACCTTCCCACTGCCTGTCTATGTTGGCCTCACAAAGTCTGGGGGCTGGCTTAGTGGATCTCTGAATGAGACCATGGAGGCACTTGCCATGCCCAGGGACGCATTGTGATTTTGGAATCAGCCCTGGTAGTGACCGTGACAGTTTGGTGGCCTCTCTGGAATCTCCCTGGATAATCTGTCCAACTATGGGGACCAGGATGGCGAAAAGGGCCTGCCTTGTCCCTGCTCCTGCACCCTCGCTGGGCGAGCAAGGGTTCACGCAGGACGTAGGACGTGTTGACCTCTTGGGGTTGAGTTTGTTCTTTTTCTTGAACCGCTGATAAAACAAAACTTGCAAGGAAAAAAATAACCCCAGGCCTGGCAGAACTGGCTCTAGGCCCAGTCCACACCTGCTTGGGGTGGGGCTGCACCCTAGCCCTGGGGTCCTGTGTTCCCAGGAAGGTATAGGGCTTTGGTGGGTGCAGGAGGCCTGGCCTTTTGATCTGGGATGGGGTGGTCCTTGAATCATGTGCTGTCACCCCACCTGGTTACTGATCCCCAAGATCCCAGCAGGTGTAGGGGATTCTGGGTAGCCTCAGTTTGGGCCCAGGCCTCAAGGTGGGACCATCCTCAAGGTGGATGGTTTAGAGGAATGCCCCTTAGAGTAGATGGGAGAGGCCCTGTGCCTCAGTGCCAGGGGACCTCAGAGACCCTCCCTGGCAGAGGAACTGCCAACAGCACCTTCCCTGGCCCCCCAGCACCCTGCCGGACTCTCCCCCAGACTCGGGCTCCGAGGCCTACTCCCCCCAGCAGGTGAATGGTGAGTCCAGCGGGCACCGCCCTCCCCCTCTGGGGTTTGGGCAAGTGGTTGGGGCAGCCTTATCGGTAAGAGGGAGGGAGGGAGTGACGGAGGGAGGGGGCCAGTGGCTGCCCAACGGGCTGAGATTATCGCTGGTCAAATACTCCCCGCGCTGGCTATTGTTTCCCTCCGGGCGGGCGGGTGGCAAGCCTGGCCCTGCCTCTGAGCAAGTATCCCTGCCGGTGATGCCACCCGCCTGCCCGCCTGCGCCATCATGGACGCGCCCTTCAGTGGTAAGTGGACGGCTGGGGTAGGCCATGGGTGCAGCCCTGCCACCTCACCTCTGGGGACTGCTTGGGGGGATGCCACAGCCCCCATGTGGTCAAGAGCAGACCATCAGAGTGGCCAGCTCCCTACAGCCCCAATTGGGGTCAGGAGTTCTGTTTATCTTACCAAAAACATGCCTGGAATGCCTCCTGGAGGACAAAGGAAGCCAGGGCCTCCCCCTTTGGGCTGGGGGGCTGGCCACTGGGGGCCTGGTAGAGGGGCTGCTGGAGGGAGGAGGACCGGCTGGGTTTAGGGTGGCCCAGCCTACTTCAAGTTGAGGGGTTGGAAGACTTTAATATTGAGGACCCCACCAGGGAGGCCTGGGGAAGGAGCCAGCTGACATGGGGTGAAGGGCCGACCACCTCCCGGACAGAGGCTTGCGTCCCTGTCCAGACCCTCAGGGCCAGTCTCAGCTGCCCAGCCCCATTCCCACCTGGGGAGGGCAGCCCCTGCTTTGGCTCAGGAGAAGTAAAAGCAGGAGACCCCGACCCTGTGTGAGGCTGGTTCCTGATGCCCACCCCTGTCTCTCCTGCAGACCCCCATCTCCTGCGGACGATAACCCCGGAGACCCTGTGCCATGTGGGTGTGCCTTCCCGCCTGGAGCACCCACCCCCACCTCCAGCCCACCTGCCAGGCCCCCCGCCACCCCCACCACCTCCACCGCACTATCCTGTCCTGCAGCGGGACCTGTACATGAAGGCTGAGCCCTCGATGCCCCCCTATGCTGCCATGGGGCAGGGGCTGGTCCCCCCGGATCTCCACCATCCCCAGCAGTCCCAGGTGCTGCACCAGCTGCTGCAGCAGCATGGAGCTGAGTAAGGCCTGGGTGGCCATCTCCCACAGCTGGGTGGAGGGGTTGGGAGGCAAGAGATGAAAGGCGGACTCGCGGAGAACCTAAGAAGGGCAGAAGGGTCTGCATGGCGGATGAGGGGAAGGGTTGTGGCCATGGTTAATTATTTGATGGACACAGTTAGATAACCTGAGGTTCTGAGAGGGGGAAATGGATTGCTCAGACAGTGGAGCCAGGGAGAAGCAGAGCTGGGCTTAAACTGCGGATGGTCCTTGTAGTTCGAACTCCGGTGGCTTGTGGGCTGTCTTGCCAAGGCCTCCTGCAGGGCCTCCCTGACTCCACCTGCGACCCCCTGTCCCTCTGGCTCCATGCACAGTGGAGTTCAAGCAGAGAGTCTGTCAAAGCATTTTATAAACCAAATGGCGGTGGAAGGGGCACAGTGCAGCACCTACTTTTAGGCTGGCCCCATTCACAGAGGCTCTCCTGCCTGGGTTTGTGGCTTGTGTTTGACCCACCAAAGCTGCTCAGCATAGACTCCCACTATGGGGCAGCAGTGACACCGACATGGCAAGCAAGGGCCCAGCTCAGGTGCTGTACAAATGCCTGCTGGGCCCTTCGCTGGCCTGATGGAGAGGCAGACAGACAGGGCTGGCTCCTGCCCTCCCAGATGCCACAGTTCTGAGGGAAGGGGAGCTGAGGGAAGAGGAGGAGCCCCCTAGGAGGCACAAACTGAGCACTCCCTGCTGGATGTGTCCTTAGTGCTGGGTGCAGCCAGCCGACATGGCACAGAAGGGACGTGATGGGCTTGGCTCAGGGAAAGCCAGCTCCCCCATGGCGCACACCTGTCTTCCCAGGCTCCCCACCCACCCTTCCAAGAAGAGGAAGCACTCCGAATCACCCCCCAACACCCTCAATGCCCAGATGCTGAATGGGATAATCAAGCAGGAGCCTGGCACTGTGACAGCCTTGCCCCCGCACCCTGCAAGAGCCCCGTCCCCGCCCTGGCCTCCCCAGGGCCCACTCTCTCCCGGGCCCGGCTCCTTGCCACTCAGCATCGCCCGGGTCCAGACTCCACCTTGGCACCCACCAGGTGCACCCTCCCCAGGTACATGATCTGACTAAACCTTGCAGGTGGGGTGTGGAGCCCAGGGCTAGGGTCCACGTGGGTATTCCCTCCCTCCAGGGCTCCTGCAGGACAGTGACAGCCTCAGCGGTTCGTACCTGGACCCCAACTACCAGTCCATCAAGTGGCAGCCACATCAGCAGAACAAGTGGGCGACACTGTACGATGCCAACTACAAGGAGCTGTGAGTGATGCTTGCTGCCACCTGCTCCCCATCCGGGGCCCATTTTACCGAACAACAAACAGCCAGCCCCAGGCCTTCCTAGGAAGGTGGTGGCTGCTAGGGAGGGGCAGGGAGGAGTGGGTGGAGGGGTGTTCTTTGGCTCCTCCTTTCCTCCTCCTCCTCCCCCCCCCCAACATTCCAGGAAGGTAACAGGAAGTTGAGTGTGAGCAGGGCCCTTCCAGCAGCCCCCCTCCCTGTCCAAGGGAGGAGGGGCGGGGAGGACTGGGTTAGAGGCTGCCTGGGCATTCCTAGTCCTCCCTCAACACCCACATGGATTCAGCTTCACAGGCCACAGGCCAGGAGCCCTGTGGGCACCATCCCCTGCCTCCCAAGCAGCTCGATGGGCGGCTGAAGGGCGACTCCCCTGGATTGTTTGGGACGTTGCCCAGCATGGGCAAGGTGGCTAGGGCTTGGGCCGTCTCACAGCGGCCGAGTTTGCCCTCCTGCAGTCAGGTGACTCAGGCATTGTGGGATTCTTAGCCAGCAGCTGAGGTGGAGGAAGGGTCCACGGAGGACATGCCTGTGTGTGGGGCTGGCCCTTGATGGGAACCCCACTTCCACCTCTGAATTAAGGCCACTGAGGCCTGCGGTGTGGTCCAGACACTTCCTGGGTGCCTGGCTAGGTTGGGCAGGTAGGCTGAGCTTCTTGGGAGGAGTGGGGAGGTAGCAAGCCCAGGCCTTCCTGAAATTGCCACAGGTCCCTTGTGCAGAGTGTCGTGGGCCAGCATTGCGGTTTGCCTGGGGGCTCTGGAAGAGGGGGGACCCAGCCACAGACCAGTGGGTGCCATCTCTGCTGACCCCTAGAAGGGGGCCAGACTAGGGACATTGTTCCCATCAACAGAAGGGCAGACTGAGGCCATGTCTAGGCAGTAGCAGCAGGCCAGGGCTCCCCTCACCCTATTTGGGCAGATGGGAGGAGTCAGGATGAGGGTGTCTGGGGGGCCTGAGTAAGCCGGTGGGCAGAGGCTGGGTGTATGGCAGAGCCGGCGCCTGGTTCCACCGTTTCCAAGGCAACTGGCTGTCAGCCATAGTGAGGCTCTGCAGACCCAGTCCCTCTGGCCCTGGCCCGGGGTGGAGGGAGGGCCGCATCCTTTTGGGATGGAGCTAAGTGTGGTGAGGGGCCACCCAGCCCCCTCCCAGGGAGTTCCCTATTGCCTGGTAGCCTCGAGGGTCTTGTCCTGTGACCCCCCATTGCAAGGGCAGAGCAGTGACCACAGGCTTGCAGAGGACAGGATATTGCCTGAGGATTTGGCAGAGCCAGCACCAGTGCTCTGGGGGTCCCGGGGTGGGAGCTTGCTTGGGCTCCAGGCCTGGCTCAGGGGCTCCAGCTGGTGACTATCCTTACCTGCCGCCCAGGCCTATGCTTACCTACCGCGTGGACGCTGACAAGGGCTTCAACTTTTCGGTGGGGGATGACGCCTTTGTGTGTCAGAAGAAGAACCACTTCCAGGTCACGGTGTACATTGGCATGCTGGGCGAACCCAAATATGTTAAGACACCTGAGGGCCTCAAGCCCCTCGACTGTTTCTACCTGAAGCTGCATGGCGTCAAGGCAGGTTTGGGGTTAGGCGGGGAGGGTGTCTGAAGGGCCAGGAGCCGGGGCTGGGTGGATAGGGAGAGAGGCTGGAGGGCCAGGAGCCAGGGCTGGGTGGATGGGGAGGGAAGCTGGAGGGCCAGGAGCCGGGGCTGGGTGGACAGGGAGAGAGGCTGGAGGGCCAGGAGCCGGGGCTGGGTGGACAGGGAGAGAGGCTGGAGGGCCAGGAGCCGGGGCTGGGTGGATGGGGAGAGAGGCTGGAGGGCCAGGAGCCGGGGCTGGGTGGACAGGGAGAGAGGCTGGAGGGCTAGGAGCCGGGGCTGGGTGGACGGGGAGGGAGGCTGGAGGGCCAGGAGCCGGGGCTGGGTGGACGGGGAGGGAGGCTGGAGGGCCAGGAGCCGGGGCTGGGCAGAGGCACTGAAGGACCTCAAGGTGAAGTATGTCTGCACCCTGGCTACACCTGCCCGCGCCGCTGCCTGTTCTTTGTGGGCCTGTGCCCTCAAGCTGGCTCTTGCCTCTGTTCTGTCTCCCTGGTGTCCCCTAAGCCTGTGTTCCCAAGCAAGACCCATCTCTTGACCCCTTGAGTAGCTCCCTGGTTCCCTGGTCCCCTTCTCAGGGAACAGGGTGCCATGTCCTGGTAAACCTGGTTATCCCTGGCCGTTGTCATTTATGTGCTTGGTTGGGCTATCCCCTCCCTGTCTCCCTGCTGCCTCTCCCCTGGCCGGGGTCATTACCCTTCCTGTCTGAATGTCCATTGCAGCTTCCACTCTGGCTCCAGATCCTGCCACCTGAGGCTTGGGGTTCAAAGCTCTCTATTCTCCAGCATAGCCCCTGGTTTCTAAACTGAGTCCTTGGGGTCTTGGGGATCAGGCCCTTCACTCCAGCCCTGCCACTTGGTGCTCCCGCTTCTCAGCCCATTCCCTGTCCTCACCTGCCTTCCCTCTCCTGGGGACACCCCATCCATTATTCCAGTGCACACCCTTGCTTAGAGGTGGCTGGGTCTGTGTGTCCGTGTCATGGGCTGGGCCCGATGTGTACTGAGTGCAAGTGGGTGTGCTTGGGGCTAATTTAAGAAGTGGGCAGGAGTGTGTGGGTCAGGGCTTTCAAAGGTGGCCATGTGGTGCAGGAGTGTCAGAGTTGTTTGTGTGCACTCCTGGGCGGAAGTCAAGGGGGTTTGTGAAACCTGAGCATGTGCTACAGATGCGGGGAGGCTGGCCTGAAGTTTGTGGGAGTGAGGCAGACAGCAGGTGCTGCCCCGCTTCCTCTGCGCTGGGAAGGCGATGGAGGGTGGGACTGGAGTGGCACTGAGGTGTCACTAGGCTTGTCCTTACCAGCTGGAGGCCCTGAATCAGTCCATCAACATTGAACAGTCGCAGTCAGATCGGAGCAAGCGGCCCTTCAACCCTGTCACGTGAGTGTCTAAGACCTGCCAGGTGTCCTCCCTACCCTGCCCCTGTGAGCTAGCATGGGAACTGACGGGGCTCAGACACACTCCCAGAGTGTCCTCTGACCCCTGAGCGCTGTGCCCCTCTCCTGCAGAGTCACCCTGCCCCCCGAGCAGGTCACGAAGGTGACTGTGGGGCGGCTGCACTTCAGTGAGACCACAGCCAACAACATGCGCAAGAAGGGCAAGCCCAACCCTGACCAAAGGTGAGCAGCATGGACCCCTGCCCTAGAGACCCTGCACTCCAGAGGAGCAGGCTGGGCACAGGGCTTACGGATGGGCGCATTGCACAGATAAGGGAGCCAAGGGCCAGAGTCCTTGACCAGCTGAAGAATGGGGGCCAGAGCTGTGGCCTTGGTGACTTCTGCCCCCTGCTGGAGGCTCAGGTTCCTGCCCTGTTAATGTTCACCTCATTGGGGTGAGATGGCAACAGGGACCTGTATTCCTACTGTTCCTCTGGCCCAGGAAGGGTAACAGGGTGAGGGCCGGTGAGGCAGGCAGTGCAGGGTGCTGGGTGCCTCTGAGAGCTCTGTGTGTCCCAGGTACTTCATGCTGGTGGTGGCCCTCCAGGCTCACGCACAGAACCAGAACTACACGCTGGCTGCCCAGATCTCAGAGCGCATCATCGTACGGGTGAGCACTGCCTTCTTCTCAAGTGTCGAGAGTCCTACCTGGGGTTACAAGAAACAGCACTAGGAGAAATACTGGGGTGCTGGGGTGGGGGTCAGGGGCCAGAGTGCAAATCTTGCTGGGCATTGGCCATGAGCTTCCCTGGGCTACATCTTCACACAGAAAGCAGGCAGGTGGACAAGACCTCATTGCCTTCTGGGATCCTGTAAGTGGCTCAGAGCTGTCACAGTGGGCAGGACAGCTGAAGAAGGGCAGGGCTGGGTGAGGAATCCTGATCTCCCCAGGGCCTAGTAGGTTCTCCCTTCCACCCCAATTCCTCCAGGCCTCCAACCCAGGACAGTTTGAGAGCGACAGTGACGTGCTGTGGCAGCGGGCCCAGGTGCCCGACACTGTCTTCCACCATGGCCGCGTGGGCATCAACACCGACCGTCCTGACGAGGCGCTGGTTGTGCATGGCAATGTCAAGGTCATGGGCTCCCTCATGCACCCATCGGACCTGCGCGCCAAGGAGCACGTGCAGGAGGTGGGGGTGGGGATTGGGGGGTGGAGAGGCTGGAGGCAGGAGTGGGGCATAAGGTTTGACGCTGGATCTCAGTCAGCTTCCCCTGGCAGCAGGGGATCCCCTCTGTAGGCTCACGGGTCTGGGGTGGGGTGGGGTGGGGAGGTTAGGGCCTGCTCTGGCAATCGCAGGAGGGCAAGGCTTCAGTCTGGGCCCTGGTTGTCCTGCAGGTGGATACCACCGAGCAGCTCAAGAGAATCTCGCGCATGCGTCTGGTGCACTACAGGTACAAGCCCGAGTTTGCAGCCAGCGCTGGCATCGAGGCCACCACACCTGAGACAGGTAGGTGACTGGCCTGGTGCGGACTCGGGCTGGGGGTGTCTGGGAACCCTATAACATCAGGTCTCAGTGACCTTGCTCTGTTCCCTGGTGCTCTGGTGGGTTTGTGTCCCTGGGCCCTGGAAACCCTCCTCCCAGAGCCTCACCTCTTGACTGTTGGAGCTCTGCTCCTGCGACGCTGGGCCTCCCTTGCCCCGGAATCCGACCCTTCGCCCTCCCAGCAGCCCCTCTTCTCTGATCTCCTTCCTTCTGGAATGCTTGGTACTGGGATGCCCCTGCTCTCTTGGCACTGGAGCCCAGATTTCCAGGCCTGCCCCGAGCCTGCCCGTGGTTTGTGCCTCCCCAGGCGTCATCGCCCAGGACGTGAAGGAGATTTTGCCCGAGGCCGTGAAGGACACGGGGGACATGGTGTTTGCCAACGGGAACACCATAGAGAACTTCTTGGTTGTGAACAAGGTCTGTGGAGCAGCACAGCTGTGGGGACCCGGGTTGCACATGGGGCAGGTCACCTGGGGCTTCATCTCTCTGGAGCCCCGGGCACTGAAGAGTATAGGCCAGCAGATGCCCTCCCGCCCTGCCCCTCTCACAGTGGGTGAGTGTCAAGGGCAGGATTTGGCCACTGGAGGCTGTGTGAACCACTGCAGGGGAGAGGCATAACAGAAGTGTGAGAGCAGGTGTGAGGGGTTGAGAGCATGGTGTGCTGCGAGGGTGATGGCTGTAGCTTACCTGGCCCCAAGGAGACCTGTCATGTGTTCTCATGCCCTGCTCCTCAGAGGGACAGGCTCTGATTGTGACAGGGTGCGGAGTTGAGGCTGTGGGAGTGGACACTGGGCTGGAGAAAGGGGGGCTCCCTTCCTGCTCCCTGATGGCCTACAGCCTGGGGCTCCCCGAGGACCGAACGTTCCCTCAAGGCTGGCCTGTGACCGTGGCAGGAACGCATCTTCATGGAGAATGTCGGTGCCGTGAAGGAGCTATGCAAGCTGACGGACAACCTGGAGACGCGCATCGACGAGCTGGAGCGCTGGAGCCACAAGCTGGCCAAGCTGCGGCGACTGGACAGTCTCAAGTCCACTGGCAGCTCGGGTGCCTTCAGGTGGTGGGGCAGGGAGTGAGGGAGAGTGGGAGACCCTTTTACCTCAGAGGCAGCGCTAACCCCTGCTCTCTGGCTGCAGCCATGCAGGAAGCCAGTTCAGCCGGGCAGGCAGTGTCCCCCATAAGAAGAGACCTCCCAAAGTGGCCAGCAAGGTGAGGGTGGGGGGCACAATGGACCTGGGTTTTTCCCATGCCCCATGGTCCCCCTTGCCAGCTCCCATTTCTCCCGTTGTCCCTGACGTCCCTCCCCCAGCTCTCCCTTTCCCTCTGGCCCAGCCTCGCCCTTAGTACTGCCACCTCCAGCAGAGCCCATGTGGCCAGGGCCGTGGACTCCCTGGGTCTGCCTGCCTCTGCATTTTCTTCCTTTTCTCTTGGTCCATAGTCATCATCCATGGTCCCAGACCAGGCCTGCATCAGCCAGCGCTTCCTGCAAGGGACCATCATTGCCCTGGTGGTGGTCATGGCCTTCAGGTAACTTGTACTTCTGGCTCTGAGCTTGCTGCCTGGGAGCTGAACTGTGCCGTGGGCGTTAGGTGCCTGTGGACTCAGGCTGGGTGGCCAGGCTTGGAAAGGAATAGGTGGCATAGGAGAGCAAGGGGCTGAGGTCTTGGGGAAGATGGACTGCCTTTTTCTGTTTTCCTACAGCTGGGGAGTCCCAGGTTTCATTTTGTTTGTTTTTTCTTTTCTTTCTTTTTAAAAAACTTAATTTATTTGAAAAAGCAGAATTAGAGAGAGGAAGATAGATCTGCTATCTTGTGTTCACTCCCCAAATGGCCACATTGGCTGGGGCTGGGTCAGGCCAACGTCAGGAGCAAGGAGCTTCATCTGGGTCTGCCCTGCAGGTACAAGGGCCCACGGACTTGGGCCCATCCTCCACTGCTTTCCCAGACACATAGAGCTGTGGAAGTGGAGCAGCCAGGACTTGAACTGGCACCCATATGGGATGCTGGTGCTGTAGACAGTGGTTTAAAGCTCTGTGCCACAGCACCAGCCCCCACGGGAAGACCCATTTACACGCATCACTGGAAGCCCAGCCCCAGGGCTAGGAGAAAGGGCAAGGATGCTGGACAGTTGCCCCAGCTCTAACGGTGACCCTTCTCTGTGGCTCCTAGCGTGGTATCCATGTCCACACTGTATGTGCTAAGCCTGCGCACCGAAGAGGACCTGGTGGATGCCGACGGGTATGTTGCTGGAGGCCTGGCCACTGAGCAGGCCAGGCTGCCAGGCCAGGTGGGCTCTGAGGAGGAGCCATGGAGGCTATATCCTCTGAGGGGCTTCACCCCAGGCTCTCAGGCAGTCAGGAGTACATCGGGGTGGATAGGAGGGGTCTCCAGGAGGGCGGGCAGCTGTTCCCGGTCCCTGACAACAATGGTATCTTTCTGCCCTTGTGCAGTGTTCCTCCTGGTCACCAGCTGGGTCTCTGAGAGTCAGGGCCCAGGTTGGAATGGGGGTGGGGAGGGAGAGAGGGGCTGGGGCAGGATCTGGGCTCTGCCCACTGTCACTCCCATCCTCCGGGGCCATCTCTGACTGTGTCTTTTCTCTCTCTCTCCTGCCCTGGGCCTGTCTGCCCCTTTGTCTCTGCTGCCTTTAGCTCTTTTGCCGTGTCCACTTCCTGTCTCCTGGCCCTGCTCCGGCCCCAGCAGTCTGGGGGGAGTGAGGCCATGTGCCCATGGTACGTCTGTCATCTGACCAAACGCCCCGCCCTTGGTTGGCTCCTGCTGCCCTTCTGCCTGCCTCCTTTCCTCCCTCCCTGTCTACCTCTTCCTGCCCCTCCTGCTTCTCTGGGACACCCCTGGTCCCAGGCCTCCCCCTTGGGAGCCCTTCAGTCTTTCTGAGCTCAGCTCACCCATCCCCAGCAGGTCCAGCCAGAGCTTTGGGACCACTCAGCTCCGACAAACCCCTGTAACTACAGGGCTACCACCAGATGTACCCTCCTTGCTTCTGGGTGAGTGTCTGGGATAGGCTTCAGGGCCCAGGGTGGGGGAGATGCTGTGTTCTGGGAAGGAGGGGGCCTGCTGCTCCTCTCTAGCTCACACAGTCTCTGGATCTCAGTCACCACAGGCCTGACCAGCTCCACTCCAGGTCCAGCCATCCGTACCTTGGACCTGTGCTCCAGCCGTCCTTGCCCTGTCGTCTGCTGCTCCTCCCCCAGCCCCAGCACTCCCACTCACTCTAGTCTTGGCCCCAGCTTTAACCCTGGCCATGGTCTCAGTCCCAGTCCTAGTCCCAGCCCCACTAGCAACCGCTCAGGTATGGTTACTTCAGGGCTAGGGCTTGGGATGGGGGAGGAGTAGAGCTAGGATGAGACTCCCCAGTGGGAAGATCTCCTGGAGCCCAGAATGAGGCTCTGGGAAAAGACTGGGGGGAGCTGTGCTCAGGGGGACCAGGATACTGATGGGATTCACTGAATCCAGGGTCCCTGAAGACTGCCAGACAGGAGGCAGCCAGTTTTCCCTCTTCTCAGCCTGTCCCTGCTTCTATCCACAGGCCCCAGCCAAATGGCCCTGCTGCCCTTCACCAACATCAAAGCAAAGTCCTGGGGCCTTTCAGCCAATGGCATTGACCACTCAAAATATCCCAAGAGCCTGGAGCCCGTGGCCAGCCCTGCAGTTCCCTTTCCTGGGAGCCAGGGCAAAGCCAAGAACAGCCCGAGTCTTGATTTTCATGGTCGGGCCCGCCGAGGGGCCGTGGAACCCAGCCTGGGTCCTGCCCAGCCCACTCAGGCCCAGGGCCAGCCAGGTACTTGATTTCACACCTCACACTCCCTATCCAACTCGCAAGGCTCACTGGCCAGGGCCCAGTTCAGCCCAGTCACATGGCTGCCTGGGTCCACAAGTGCCAGGCAGACACCTGCAGAGCCTGCAGTGTCAACAGCTGGGCCAGAGCCCCATAGAGATGGTATTCTGTCATCTTCACAACTCTGGAGCAAGGACAGTACCAAGTGAGGGAATGGCAGATTTAGGTGGAGACTTGCCCATCAGCGGTTTCATGCCAGGTCTGCCCATCAAGCCTGGTCTCTTCACCATTCCAGGAAGAGAAAGGTGCTGTACAGGGCTCCCCATGCTTTTCTCTGTGCTTTTGTGGGTTTTTTATTTAAAAGGTGAGGAAATCACGGAGACACAGTCAGGAATAGAGTGGGCAGAGAAGGGAAAGGTCGGGAAGAAATGTTTCTGTATTCGTCTTGTGTCTGTCGGGAGAAAAAGGGTGCCTCTCCCTGTTGCCTGGCTTCTCTTGTACCCGGGAAGGGGAGGGTTATGGGATACCACCCTCCAGACCCAGGGGAACGGGTGCAGCCTAAGGAAGTGGTCCTTTGATTGACAGGTAATGCCTTTAACAAGCTGGAGGTTTTCAGCTTCGGCTCTTGCCAGGCGTCTCTGGGCTTGTCCCAGCATCCCAGGAGAGTCTAAGATTCTGGCTTTGGTCTGGCAGCTCAGCAACTTCCCTGGATAGATTTTGCGGCTTACAGGATAAAGAGTAAGCCCGGAAATGGACATTTCTGAGGCTTGCAAAGATTGAAGTTGCATGTGGTGGGGAAACCCCACGGGATACTTCCCAGGCAGCCTCTCCATGGGTTGTTGCCATATCCTGGCTCTGCAGGCACAGAGTGGACAGCCACGCCCCTGGGCCCAGAGTCTGCAGAGAGGGAAACAGCCATGGGATACGGGTCGAGGGACAGGCAGACAATTCTGGGCCTGGTCTGGACTCCAGTGGGGAGGTGACTGGTGGGGTGGGGGATTGCCTGCAGGTAATCTGCAGTCTCTGAAGGACATCTGAATTTGCCCAGAAAGGAAGTGGGAAGGGCACCTGTCCCTGGCTGCAGGGGTGTTCTGGATCCTGCTGGAGTCCTTGCTTCCCTGTGCTGTGCCTCGGGGCTCGACACCTCCTGCCTTGATAGAAGGATCAGGCAGCAGTGATCCTGGAGGTGAACTCAAATGAGCAAGAGAACGCCTCCCTTCCCACTGTCCAGTACACTCCAGTCCCACTCCTTAACCAGGAGCCAGTGAAGTCATCCAGTGTGGGGTGCATGTCAAGGCGTGCTGGGCGGTGGCCTCTCGGGTTGGAGAGCCTTCTCTTGTGCTTCCCCCACGGTCCTGAGCTACCAAGGGAAATCGTGAACCCAGAGTTAGGAAGAGATGTGTGGTCAGGGGCGGAGGTCTGTGAGTGGCTACTGCACCCACTGGCAAGGGGTCTGGAAGGTGGGTCCTGGATTCTGTGTGGGAGGCAGACCTCAGGCCTGCGGGAGCTGGGAGCTACTCTGAGGGCTGCTGGGGAAGGACTATGGCATGGTTCTGGCCATTTGTCCGAATCTGGAAGAGATGCTGAGAGTCGGTCAAATGAAGGCATGCATGATGCATGTGTGGCAGTGGAGGGGACTGATTGTGCTTCTTGGTGTTGTCATCTCCTTGCCCCAACAGCTTTTCTCCTTGCAGACCCAGTGCCCTCCCTGACCTCCATCCAGGTGCTGGAAAATTTGATGCCCATCACCTCCCAATACTGCGCTCAGGCAGATGCGTGCAGGTGAGTTGTGCCTGACCCCAGGGGCTCCCCTCAGGTGACACGTGCACAGGTGTCCCGAGCTTGCTCCCTCTGGGGAGGGACCTCCCACACAATGCAGGGCAACCCCTCTCCAAGCGTCTGAAGGATCCCAGGACAAACTTGGGGTGAGGAGTCAAAGGGGGAGGCTTCCTGAGGGTACAATGGGCTGAGATAGTGGTTTGCCCCTTTAGGCCTGGAAACTTCACTTACCACATCCCCGTCAGCAATAGCACCCCACTGCATCTCAGCCTGACCCTGCAGATGAAGTAAGTGCTGACAGGGGTTGGAAAAGGGGACAGGTACCATGGAGAAGCCCCCAGAGCTGCAGGACAGCCTGAGGCATGGGTGGCCCACTCTGCATGGTGAACAGGCTGTGAGGAGCCGATGAGTGGATGGGCAGGAAGGGCCTGGCCCTCCTTTGACTTGGGGTACTAGGCTTGTGTTGGGGGTGGGAGTGGGGTGGAAGAGCGAGGCCCAGGGACTTGCTAACTGTGCCTTTCTCCAGCTCCTCCTCCCCCGTGTCTGTGGTGCTGTGCAGCCTGACGTCAAAGGAGGAGCCCTGTGATGAGGGGGGCTTCCCTCAGAGTCTCCACACACATCAGGACACCCAGGTAGGGGGCTGGAAGGTGGGCTAGGCGTGCCCTGGAGCTCTCTTTCTCCCTAGCTCACAAACCAGTGATGGGGGTGCTGGAAAGGAGGCATCATCTCAGGGGGCACGTGGGGGGCAGAGGGCATACCCACCTGTTTGTTCATTCTACTCCCTGCCAAGCACTTTGTGTGTGCAGTGGTGGCACCTTGGTGATGAAATTCAGCAAGGATGAACCTGGGATGAGTGTGATAGTGGAGGTGGGAGGGTGCCCTGGAAGCCTGGGGCAGGGGGCAGCAAGTCAAGGAGGTGGGGTGGTTGGAGCCTGCAGAGGCGGGAAGGGGCCTCTGCCTACTACTTCGGGAGGGGAAGCGGCAGTCAGCTCTTGACTCTCAGAAGAGCTCTTGGGAGTCATGCCCAGGGATACGTCCTTGCCTGCGACTGGATGGCTGGGCCCAGTCACCGTTCAGCTCCTCCTTGGCTATGCAGACAACCACAAGTTGAGGACTCTCCTGGGGCCAGTGGACTAGCCTCTGCCTGAGCTTGAGGCCCTGGGAGAAGACTGGACAAGTAGAGGGAAGAAGTGGTAACTGCTCATCATTTGTGAGTTGTCAATGAGTAGTTCCCATCTTGGGCCCTGTGTTCCCAGCTGTGGGAGACCCAGGTAGCGTGAACACAGGCTCCCACTTCCCGAAACGCACTCCCTAGGCTCAGGAGAAAGGCATTGTGCTTCCCTTTGAGGCCTGTGCTTCCCTTTGAGGGGACAGCCACACAGGCCTGGGCTTGGACCTTAGCTCTGCCATTGGGTGAATTTTAGGTATGTGACTCAGTTTCCTCATCTCTAAAGTGAGAATGTGAGCATCCCCACTTCACTGGATGGTAGTGATGTCAGTGTGCTTGGAACACAGTGGGTAAGAAGCAACACAGGGCGACAAGACAGGCAGCACTGGACTGAGGTGGCTGTGGACTCTAGGGACATTTGTAGCCTGCAGCAGGTGGCTGCCAATGTTCCTCTAAGCATCATGTACTCCCTGCTACCTCTCACTGGAGCCCTCTGCTTCAAACACTGCAGGCCTTTAGGCTGCACTGGCCACCCCGCGAGGGATGTTTGGTGGGCTGTGGGTAGAGTGCCCTGTTGACCCTCCTGCCTTCTCCCCTCAGGGCACCTCACACCAATGGCCAGTAACCATCCTGTCCTTCCGCGAATTCACCTACCACTTCCGGGTGGCACTGCTGGTGAGCACGGGTACCCACCACTCTGTGCATGGTCAGGCACCTCAATCTGATGTAGGGGCTTGGGAGACAGAGGGCATGGCTGGACTTGGGGCGCAGTGTCCTGCACTGCCCCAGAGTTGCCTTACCGATGCCTACTGCCCTTCCTTCCAGGGTCAGGCCAACTGCAGCTCGGAGGCCCTTGTCCAGCCAGCCACGGACTACTACTTCCACTTCTACCGCGTGTGTGACTGAGTTGCCCTCCAGGGCAGTGCCAGGCTGGGGACCAGGGGTCCCTGGCACGCATCCTACACTGGACACTAGGGTGTTACACTGGAGCCTGCTGCCGGCCAGCTCTGTGCCGCTTACCGGCCCTCCTGGGACTAGTGAAACTGGAAGTCCTCACACTGGAGTTGCTGTTCCTGCTTGCATCCCTCACCTGGCACAGAGGAAGCCAGACTTCCTGCGCCAGGTCAGAACCCTGTCACATCCCTCCAGAAACACTGGTTGGAAGGCTGGCTTTAGCTGTCCCAGAGGCCAGGAGAAGCCTGCCACCCTGACTTGTCTAGAGCCCAGCTTCCCTGACCTCCCCTTTTGAGATGGGAGTTTACCCCTCTTGGAGACCTGCCTGCCTTTGGGGTCACACTTAGGGATTTGGCCACACGCACCTAAGTGAGCAGAAGCCAGACAGCTCTCAGCTTCAAAGCTGCAATACGGGGGAATGCTTGGCAGTAGACTTTTGGGGAGTTGCCTGTTACGCTGGACCTGGAGTTCTAAGCTTTAAGGGTGGCCCAGGACGTGTCTTCTTGGGAGAGCCTGGCTCCCAGAATCCCCCAGGAACCAAGCCCAGCCCAGCCCTGGATGGGTTGGAGACAGATTTTGTGCCTTAAGTCTACTCAGTGCCTGATGAAGCTGCCCTCAGGTCTGGGCTGGGGGCGTCGGTAAGCCAGGTGAGCTGTAGATCCTTGAGCCTGGGGTACACTGGAAGGGGGAGTTCCATGTGGTCCCCCAGAAGGCACAGAGACCCATGGCCTGTGCTTCCATGAGCTTCCAGAGTCCACCTGTCGTCTGAGCAGAGGAGCAGGAATCTGCAGCCAGCTGGGCTTGGCTGGTGGGCGATGCACAAGTACTTGCTGTTATTAGTGAAGTAATGATTAAATGCACTTAAGCCAGGGCAGGAAGGAGCAGAAGCCCAGAGTGGGTCCCAGCCTTGGGGTGACACTAGCAGACAGGGGCCCAGGTTCCGAGCTCTCCAGGCTGCCTGACACCTAGTCCACTCCTGGCCATAACCCTGGTCTCCTCCTCCACTCCTGTCCACGGGTGGCCTTGTCTCCCCAAATCAAAGGCTCACCTGTTGAGCTTGGGCAGCTAAGCTGGAGGGAGCCCTGCTTGGCAGGCCCTGTCTCTGTCTGCCCCTCCCAGGAGTGCAGGCGTAGCCTTCAGTTAGGGAAGCTGTTCTTTCCTCGTGGTGCTGGGGGCACTCTGCGGCCACATTCGAGCTCCCAGGCGGGGTGAGGCAGTCACGTCAACCGTGTCTGCCACAGGTTTGCAAACAGGAAAGGGAACCGCTCTCCTTGTCCTCCTCCCAACTCTTGGAGAATCAGGCCCTGCCGCCATGGCCGCATCTCTCACAGCTCTGCATGGGGTCTGTTCTCAAAGAAACCAATGAACTGCAGGTTGCCTTCTGTCACAGATAGCAAAGCACTTAACCATGGGACAGGGAAACACCAGGGGTGTGTGTTGGGACAGAAGGGCTACCCTTTCTCAGCACGCCCCTCTTCAGCTCACTCATTGAGAGGGATTGTGACCGCCCACTGTGTGGGGGAAGGGGAGCGCTCAAGACTCCTCTGCTCTTCCCCTTCCTTCTTATAATGCCTTAAAACTGCCAAGTCCCATCCTTTGTAATAGGATTCTGGCTTCCCTCAGTGCAGAGAAGGGGAGTGGGCTTTTGGGCGCCCCCCCCCCCCGCCCAGGTCTTCACTGCAAAGTACCCTTCTGCCCCCTGGAGCCTGCTTGGACGCGGCCTAGTTCCAGTCCCATCAGCAGCTGGCTCTGTTCTGTGCCTGGGGAGGGGTCCTCACTGCAGGAGTCGCTGGGGCTCCAAGCTGCTTGAGGGGTCACCTTTGGACCAAAGTTGCCTTCAGCCTAAGGTAAAGGGTCAGGGACAGCTCGCAGGCCACCTGCTGGAGGCTGGCTGCCTGGCCCGCCCTGCCCTGCCAGGGTTCAGCGGCGTCCCTCCCTTCTCTCCTCTTTGGCGTTCATTCCTGTAGCCACTGGGCTAATCTCCCCCTAGCTTCAAGCTGTACATACAGCCTCTCAGTGCAGCCCCCCTTGAAGCCCGCGTGTGCATACAGCGCCCTCCCACATAACTCCCGCTCCTCTGAGCCCTGACTCGTATTTATCATGCAAACACTCTGATGCTGAGGTGGGCAGAGGCCAGCAGCCCCAGGCCTGCTTGCTTCCTGTCCCCTGACCTGTTTTCTTCTGAAGTAAATATACGTATATAAATAAATGTATAAATGCTGCTTTGTATCTGAGCTTGCATCCCTGGCTCTGGCCTTTGTTCCGGTGGGGAGAGGGAGTCGCTTGTGGAGGTCCCGGCCTCTGAACCGGATGGGTGCTTGGTGCTCCTCAGCCTGCTTACCAGGGCCAGGCAAGGACTCGGCAGCCTCTCCCCTGGCCATGCCCGCCCTGCCCGCCTGCTGCCACCACCCACCTGCGGTAAAAATAGCCACCTAGCCAACACATGAAACAAAGCCCAGAAGAGGGCATTGGCCTGGGGCAGAAGTGACTGGTGTGGGTCTCTAGGAAGGGTGGATTCAGCCAAAGGGGCAGACTCCGACCCTTCCGGTCTATAGGGAGCCTTAGATCCAGTGACAGGACGGCCCTGCCACATGGCCCTCGGCCTCCAGGAGCAACAGCTGTATGACAGGTAAGTAAGAAACAGGAAAGAGTGGGACTGGGAAGTCAGGTAGGTCTTCTTTACGGCACGGGCAACAGACAGAACCGTCACACATCTGCTTTTATTGTGAGAGCAGGTGGGACACTTCCAGCAATAGTAAAAAACAGAAAACAAAAAAGATGAATCTACAAAAGTGGGGACTCCGTGGCTGGTACCTGAAAGGGGAGGGGTATCTACATGAGACCAAAGATCATTCTTGTACCCCTCCCTCCCTGACACCCTGCATCTGGGGCAGGCCCAAGCACTGCCCTTTGAGGATGAGCCACCAGAGTGGACTCCCTGTGACCTGGTAAGGGGATCACCTGTACAGATATGAAGGCCCTGACCCTGATTCCTTCCAGAGAGCTCACTTCCCAGCAGCCTCCAAGTCACTGGTATATGGGACCCCAGGAAGCCCGTTCCCACCCCAAAGTCAGAATGAGGCCTTGGTGTTGGGCACTGCAGAGAACTCAACAAAGTATGCCCCACCTGGCTCAGATCCCCATGCGTGGCAGGAAGCAGCCACCTGCCTTTCGTGGTTCTGATCACTGAGTGGCCTCCGTTAGCCCGGGGGTCTGGCCTAATGATCCCACTGGTGTGGCTATGGGGAGGGATTCCAGGCATCCCGTGCTCTCACAGCTCTTACCCTTGTAGCTCACACGTAGATGCCGACCCAGAGCAGGAGGAAGAGGACCCCAAAGCCCATGAAGAGTGAGGCCACCAAGGAGATGAGGAGCTCTTTGTAGATGTCCCGGGTGTACTTGGTGGAGGTGACTTCGTAGCTGGTTGGAGCCGTTAGGGAGAAGCAGCTGGACTGCAGAAATCAAGGGGCCTGGCCAGCGCTGCTCTGGGGACCAAGCAATGTGCAGAGGGCTCTCGGGGAAGCCTGGTGGGCTCAGTGTGGCGGGCAGGGAGCCCAATAGATGGCTCTACCCTGGTGCTCCACGCCATTCTCCAGCACTCATGGATAGACGAGATTGGCCCCACGTCATGCAGCTCCCTGAGGCTTCTGGAGAGGAGTACGCTCCACCATTCTACCTCTCCGACCTCCGCTTCAGTTGAGACCCTCTGCCCATTATCTTGGACATCTGAAGATGCCCATTGAGCTTCCCTGAACCTGGACAATAAGGCCACAGCTCTCCCAGGCATCACCGGACCTGCTCTCCTCCCATTTCCGATCTCATGCACAAGACTGGCAGGGTGCAGGTCCCCACTGAGGCTTCTCCCTCATCCACCCAGCTGATAAGGTCAAGCCCACTTGGTGAAAGGATACACGAAGAACCAGGCAGTGAAGAACATGCCGATGGCCAATAGCACCACAGTCAGGTGGGGGAAGACGGCTGGGTTCACCGGGCTGGTGTATCTGCTCATGGCCTCGAGCTCCTGGGGGCGGCAGGGAGGGTGTGAGATCAGAGCCAGCAAGGAGTTCCCGAGCCCAGCCCAGGGACACTGGGGTTGGCCACATATGCCCAAGTCCCTTAGGCAGGATGGCATACTGTCCAAACGCATCTTCCTCTACATTCTAAGTCACTACTAGATTACTTATAAGACCTAATTCAATGTAAATGCTATGTAAATAGTAACAGGATTCCACTCTGGAATGCTCTACTTTTTTTAAATCTCAGTGACAGAGAAAAAGGGAAAGAGAGTCTTCCATCTGCTTGCTCACTTTCCAAGTGGCCACAATGGCCAGTTCTGAGTCAGTCTGAAGCCAAGAGCCAGGAGCTTCATCCAGGTCTCCTGTGTTGGTAACAGGGGCCAAAATACTTGAGTCATTTCCCAAGGCCATTGCGGGGAACTAGATCAGAAGTAGAGCAGCTGGGACAGGAACCAGTGACTGAGTGGAAAGTCGGAGTCTGCGGCTGCTGGGACCCTGCCACCACCATGACGGACCCGGAGTGAAGTTCAGAGCTTCTGGGTCTGGCCTGGCCCAGTCCCAGCCATTGTGGATACTGGGAGAGAATCTGTGGATGGTGGAGCTGTCTTCTTTCTCTCTCTCTCGTTACTCTGCCTTTCAAATAAAATAAATCTTAACAAAGCAAAATCCTAAAGTGGCACTTTTCAATATGGTACGAGAAGGGTGGCTAAGAGGCTGAGACACAGAAAGTAGCAGGTGGGCTGACCAAGCATCTTTAGTATCTTCTGATGCCAACGGCCCTGACAAAACGCAATGCGGTAACGTGGTGAAAGAAAGACATTCTCTGCTTGGGGGGAAAAACAAAATCACAAACAAGACAAAGTTTGCTTACAGTTTTCAGCGCTTTGTGGATTCGTGCCTACAGATACTCTGCTGCAAGGCACAGATCCTTGGCTGGTGGCCATACCTCGACTTCCAATTCAGTATTTCTCTTACCACACTGCTAGGGCTTGTCAGGACCCACAAACCAAAGCTATCAGTTCAAACTCAGGCTCTTAGTAAAAATAGTCCACAAAAACAGCCATGATGAAAGCTGGTGAGTGTCCCAGGATCCAGTTTAGCGCCACTCAACAGGGGCTTGTTTCCCCTGACCGCTTGCAGGGGGAAAGACGATGAGCTAATACCTGCGAAATAGGCTGAAAACGTCAAGTTCTGTACAGATGTTCACTGCCATTGTCACCCACCAGGCCACGCTTCTAAAACCCAGAACATAACAACTTGAAGTAAATGGACCCCATTGTTCCAAGAGACACTGGAATCGAATTGCATAAACGATGATACCCTGCCCCCTTCACCCTCCCTACTACAAAGGAAGACAATTGTGGCCATTGATGGAGCCTGGATCCAGTGGCAGGCCTGTGCTGGGGCACTGGGAGCACAGCGCCTTGTAGACATCACCCCAGAGCGGGAGGAGCGTCAGTGACGATCACTAGCAAGTATGGCAGAAAATCAGGTCAAGAAACATGGTGGGCACGGCGCAGTAGCCTAGCAGCTTAAGTCCTCGCCTTGCATGCAGCTGGGATCCCATATGGGCGCTGGTTTCCCATCCAGCTCCCTGCTTGTGGCCTGGGAAAGCAATGGAGGATGGCCCAAAGCCTTGGGACCCTGCACCCGAGTGGGAACCCCAGAAGAGGCTCCTGACTCCTGGCTTCGATTGTCTCAGCCCTTGCCACTGGGGAATGAATCAACAGACAGAAGATCTTCCTCCCTATCTCTCCTCTTCTCCGTACATCTGACTTTGCAATAAAAACAAATAGATTTTAAAAAATCAAATGGTGAGAGCGTGCACAGGGGCTGGGGGAGCTCTCCCAAGAGAAGGGAGCCAAGTGCTCCCCCCAAAAAATGACCAGGGCCTTCTAGGACACGGATGCACGGTCGGGGAAGAACTTTTGGGTGGAGATGCCACATATCACAGGTCACCAAGAAACAAGTCCGCAGGAATTCGAAGCGCACCCCGCACCCTTATCAAATGGAAAGCTCTGAAGCCGGATGAGACGTTCTCGCCTCCCAGCTCAGGCCGGAGCTTCCAGCAGCGTCACAACCCCTGCTTCCCGGGCTTCCGAAGCCTCCGCGAAGGTCCGCGCTGAGCCTCAGACCCGGAGCCGTCCTCACAGCCCTCTTCCCAGCTCCCCTCGTCCCTCTCACCATTGTGCCCGGTACAGGGTAGAGCCGCCGCTCCGCCACCGGAAGAACACGTCGGCAGGAGCAGGCGCCGCGTTCAGCCGGAAGAGAACGTGCCCCCCGGGGAAGTGGCATTGTGGGATTTGTAGTCCTTTAGTTTCAGGTGTGCCTGGAGCTGGGACCTGTGGGGCCTGATGTGGATAAAGTAGGGAAAAGCGATAGAGAGGAGAGGGAAGGCGTGCGGAGAGTCCAATCTCTTTAGATAAATTGTTTTTCTTGAGAGCAGGTGTCCTTGAGAGCCAGAGTCCGAACTACACTGCCCAAGAGGCTGTGCGCGGCGGGCAGGTCACGTGACGGCAGCGCGGGCTTTGGAAGGCGACGGAGCCGAGGAGAGCGGGGCTTCGGACTGTCCTGGGCAACACCTGGATAAGCGCTACCTGCCCGGCCTCGCGCCCCGAAGGCCAGGTGAGGCTCCGTGGGAAGCAGCTCTGAGGCCGACGGGGTCCTTTTTGGGAATCGCTGTCAGGCGACTCCGCCACTTCCCTTCGTGACTTTGGAGCATATCCTGCAGACCGCCACTTGCAGGAGGAGGGTAACTTCCACTGTAAGATCGCGGTGCATTTTACCCAAGACCTCGGCTGTGCAGACGTGTTTGCAACCCTGCCTGCCGAGCCCCTTTGCCAGGGCCGCCTACCGTGCTTTGGGCACCCGGGGTCACCGTGCAGCCCCGACGAGAGGGTGGGTTCCGCCTGCAGCGCCCGGGTCTTGTCGGAGGGTCTCCCGCCCCGCGCGATGGCTGCCAGCACCTCGGGGAGGCGAGGCAGTGAGGAGGAGATGGACCGTGAAGGAGGGCTGAGTTTGGCGGGAAGAGGGCGCGCGCAAGTTAGCGCTGCTCTCTGCCTCTCCACCCGGGTCCCACCCAGTCAGTCAGGGATGGCTGTCGGGGCAGGAGAGAGGGAATGGGGGATTCTTGGTGTGGAACACTTGCCACGGTGCAGTGCAGGAAAATTTGTTAGGTGCCGCTGAAGAAATACCAAGGGGTGAAAGTTGAGGCGTTAGCTGGGCCAGGCCTTGGACCACGGTGCCTTGGGCAACACTGCCTTCGGAACACTTTGCTGAGGGGCCTGTGTCGCAGAGGATCGGTCCCTGGCGTCCCGATCCCAGCAGCCTGCCAGTGCAGACCCTGCGGAGGCGGTGATGGTTAAAGTTTTCGGTTTCCTGACTTCCTCTTCTGCTGACGCAGCCCCTGGCTGTTAGAGGCTGTAGGCTGTGAGCCAGCAGGTGGAAGCTTAAATAAAAACTATATACATGTAATGCAGGTTTGCCACAGATGTTTTAAAAGTCCTTGGCATTTTAATTTTTTTCCCCACGATATAATCCCGTTCCATAGGCTCAGGGAGTTCCCCTTCCATCCGTATCTCCCATGTGGGTGCCAGATCCCCAGGACATGGGCCATCCTGCTGCTTTCCCAGGCCGTGAGGGAGCTGGATGGGAAGGAGAGCAGTTGGAACATGAACCAGCACCCATACGGGGAGGAGTGGCCTGTTGAGCCACCGTGCCAGCTCGACGGCTTCTGCAGTTCCCTGGTGTCGCCGCCAGTAGCCCGCAAGCCAGAGTGCTGAACCCGAGCCGGACCAGCCATCGTCCTCTGGCCTCCTCTGGGTTGTGTAGTCTTCCTGTGCAACAGGTAACACTACTCTGTGCAACAAAAGCTCCTCCTCAACATAGCAGGGTCTCTTTCCTCCAGTGCTGGTGACTTTTTCGGTCCTTCATCTTTTGCATATCAGAGACCTGCAGTTGGTGTCAGAACCTTTCTTCCCTTTGGGCCTCCCCCGCCTAACTTGCCTCCTTGTTTTTTTTTTTTAGCCTTCTCTCCTCTAGTGTCACCATGGGAATCCAAGGCCTGGCCAAACTGATTGCCGACGTGGCCCCCAGTGCCATCCGAGAGAATGACATCAAGAGTTACTTCGGCCGCAAGGTGGCCATCGACGCGTCCATGAGCATCTATCAGTTCCTGATCGCCGTGCGCCAGGGCGGGGATGTGCTGCAGAACGAGGAGGGTGAGACCACCAGCCACCTGATGGGCATGTTCTACCGCACCATCCGCATGATGGAGAATGGCATCAAGCCCGTGTACGTCTTTGACGGCAAGCCCCCGCAGCTCAAGTCGGGAGAGCTGGCCAAGCGCAGCGAGCGCCGGGCCGAGGCGGAGAAGCAGCTGCAGCAGGCTCAGGCTGCCGGGGCCGAGGAGGAGGTGGAGAAATTCACCAAGCGGCTGGTGAAGGTCACCAAACAGCACAACGACGAGTGCAAGCACCTGCTGAGCCTCATGGGCATCCCGTACCTCGATGCCCCCAGCGAGGCGGAGGCCAGCTGCGCGGCCCTGGTGAAGGCGGGCAAGGTCTACGCCGCGGCCACCGAGGACATGGACTGCCTCACCTTCGGCAGCCCCGTGCTCATGCGCCACCTGACGGCCAGCGAGGCCAAGAAGCTGCCCATCCAGGAGTTCCACCTGAGCCGCATCCTGCAGGAGCTGGGGCTGAACCAGGCGCAGTTTGTGGATCTGTGCATCCTGCTGGGCAGCGACTACTGTGAGAGCATCCGGGGCATCGGGCCCAAGCGAGCTGTGGACCTCATCCAGAAACACAAGAGCATTGAGGAGATCGTGCGACGGCTCGACCCCAACAAGTACCCCGTGCCCGAAAATTGGCTGCACAAGGAGGCCCAGCAGCTCTTCCTGGAGCCCGAGGTGCTGGACCCAGAGTCCGTGGAGCTCAAGTGGAGCGAGCCGAACGAAGAGGAGCTGGTCAAATTCCTGTGCGGTGAGAAGCAGTTCTCGGAGGAGCGCATCCGCAGTGGCGTCAGGCGGCTGAGCAAGAGCCGCCAGGGCAGCACCCAGGGCCGCCTGGATGATTTCTTCAAGGTGACCGGCTCGCTCTCCTCGGCCAAGCGCAAGGAGCCGGAGCCCAAAGCATCCGCTAAGAAGAAGGCAAAGATGGGGGCGGCCGGGAAGTTCAGAAGGGGGAAATAAATGTCTCCCTGTCATTGTGTCTCCTTGACCCCAGAACACTGGCCTTGTTGTATGTGCCCTCCGGAACTGCAGCTAGGGGATCCGCCGCGGGGTGGGGAGGGCATCCCATTGCTCTCGCAGGGCCACCCTTCTTGGTAGTTTGTTTGATTTTGTTTTGTTTTTCACTTGATCTCTTGGCAGGAAGACATAAAAGTGTTTTGTTTTTTAGCTCAGGAAAATGAGTCAGGCTCGAACCACTTCTCAGGCAGTTTGATGGACACTGGATCCATTGTTACATGGAAGTGACAACAGCAAGTTTAGAGAAGGAGAGAAATGGTGATCAAAGACAATGTGGAAATAAATTCCTGGCTGACCATCTGGCGGCATGTGGGAGGTGATGGTGGGAGCCGACCAGAGCGCTTCTCAGGGTCAGCCTGGACCCTCCCTCACCCCGAAGCTGGGCATCAGAAAGAGCCGGTCATAACAGGTGCTGAACGCACCCGAGAGAAGAGGAAGAGCAGGTGCATTTGGTTACTGGCTTTGTTTTAAGATGGGTAGAAACTTGAACTTGCTATGTGATCTGAATCTTTAAATTGGTTATTTGCCTTTCTGAGACAGTCCACGGAGTGGAGACATTGGGGTAAGACACTGGTTTCCATGTCCTGTTTTTGTGTTAGATACAAAGAGAGGAAAACAAAAGTCAATAAAATGATGAAAGTAACCAGAACTTCGCGTGCCATGAAAACAATCGGAAATGTACTGCTGCATGTTTTGAGTGTGGCCACAAGAGGGCGCCATACTCCATTGGATGGACCCTGCAAGCTCAAAGTTCTTAGGGTAGAACTCTAGTATTTTGGGTAGGAAAAAACATGTTAACGAATCAATTGAATTCCTAGTCCTTTACCTACCATGTATGAGATAAAGGAACTCCATGGAGAATCGCTAAAATTGTAGTTCACAATACCCAGGCATTTGCTTTGTTTACAAATCGCCAAGAATTGCTATGCAGATAGCTCTTGCCTGTTCTTGTTGTGACATCAAATAGAAGTTGCTGTTTCTCAAAGAGGTGTGTCTTTTTTGAACCTTAGAGATTTTAGGATCTTGGCACAGCTTGGTGGGTCTGAGTTTTTAAATTAGTATTCCTATCTCTGCTATTAGAAAGTGATCGAGGACAGTGGTTTTCTTTTTAAGATTTATTTATTATTGGAAAGTCAGATTTACAGAGAAAAGGAGTGACAGAAAGATCTTGCATCTACTGGCTCGTTCCCCAAGTGGCTGCAATGGCCAGAGCTGAGCTGACCTGAAGCCAGGAGCCAATTCCGGGTCTCCCACGTGGGTGCAGGGTGCCAAGGCCTTGGGCTTTCCTCGACTGCTTTCCCAAGCCACAAGCAGGGATGGATGGCGAGTGGAGTAGCCTCTAGGCTACCACACCAGTCCAGTCAGTGTATAGTCGAGTAGAATGTTTTTTTCTAAAGTAAAAATCTTAGATTGAAGGTTGAAGTTTGGTGTTAGCAGGTGGGACAGTCTCCCTGGCCATGGCTTTGCGCTGGGTAAAACTGCACCGAACAAAGCTCTTTTCCAGGGCTGATGTTGTGGTACAGCGTGGTAAGCCCATCCTGTGTGTGGCGGCTGGCTGCTGCAGCCCCCTGGGAGCTGCTTGGGCTGCTGCCACTCCTCTGTAGTCCTGGCTCAGCCATGACCATTGTTGACCATCTGGGAAAGTGTATCAACGGATGAGACATTCTATGTCACTAGATAAAGCAGAAGGTGCTGGGGCTGGCTTTGCTGTCTTGCAGGTAAAACCACCGCCTGCGGTGCTAGCATCCCCTGTGGGTGCTGTCCACTTGTATCCAGCTCATGGCCTGGGAAGAGCAGCAGCAGGTGACTTAAGTGTTTGGGCCCCTGCCACTCAGGCAGGACAGGTAAGGTGCCTAGGGTTGACCTGGTCCAGCACTGGCTGTTACCGCCTTCTGGGGAGTGAACTAGCACATCTCTCTCAAAATAAATCAATTTTAGCCAAAAATAATTCATTTCCTAGGGCAGGAACCTTCATTTCACTAATTGTCCTTCTTGAGCAGTTGAGGACCAAGGCCCATTTCCCAGACTGGACCAAGCTACACAGCTTATTTGAGTCCTATTTTCCGATTTCAGGACTTTGGGTCTAAGCCTGCAGGCTTGGCGAGAGGACCTGGGGGCAGGATTTTCAGGAGTGACCACTGTCCAGTACTCACTTGAACTGTGGGCTACTCCCGTGGCTGTCAACTGTGGAGCTGGCTTTCTACAATTGGATTGCTAGGTCTTTTCTAGAAGCTTTGTTCATTAATTTCCCATGGCACCGGACAGGAAGCTCATTGTTGTCCTGAGCTGCTGTCATGGTTTTGCCCAGGGGAGGTGTGGGATGGAGGCTGTGATTTCTCCTGACAGGTCTGAGGACAACTACTGCCTCAGGACTGGGACACGGTGCCCTCCGCTGGGCCGGGCTCTGCCTTCCCCTGGGGGGTTCCCTAGGCTGCCATCCTCCGATTCAAATTCACAGGCTGAGGTGAGCAGTTGGGGCATCCTGGGTACACAGAAATCTCACCAACACAAACAGCCTTCATTTGGTCAAAATTAACTTTATTTTTCGGCTTTACCTCATTGGGATGTGGTAACAAAACTGGTACACCAAAGAGACTGGTTAAAGAAGGCGCCTTTGGCCAAGTAATAGAGGAGTAACAAAAATAAAGACATTGATTCTGTCGCAATCTTTGTGACAGAGATGACTTCCTGTGAGCCTGTCTCCTCTGTCAGCAGATGTGCTTAAGAGTTTACTGAGCTGCTTGTTACTGACGTGTCTGGCCACGTTGGAGAGCACATGGGGACAGGCTTGGGAGAGAGAAGGCCACAGTGGTCCAGGTACTCGGAGGACCTGGGCTTGGCACAGTAGAGCCCCGCTGGTGTGCCCAGATCAGGCGGTCTGGAGGCAAAGCCAGCTGGCTTGGCAGTGTGCAAACACGAGTAGACCTGGGCGGCAGGAAGAGCATTGGGCTGGGATCAGCACCTGTCCTGGGGCGAGGAGGGTAACACAGAATTCTGATTCTGCTTCAGGTTTCTACTAAGTTGAAGCCAGGTTCTCCAGCTGGGCCCAACTTGTCCTCCCCTCGTTCTGGCTCTGACAAAGCTCGAAGCGTTCCGGCCAGGACACTGCAGGCGGCATGCTGAGCCCTAGCCCAGCATCTCGGGGTGCTGATCCCCTGGACCTGCCAGCCCCTCCCTGCGCAGTGCTGTTCTCTCCTCCCAGTGTCCAGCATGGCTGGCGCACAGGGTACATGCTGTTGACTGGCAAATTGTCCCCTCACCAGGACCACAAAGCTGGGGTGGGGAGGGAAGGGGGTGACTTCAGACAAGACCTCTGGGCCAGATTCCTATGTTTGCTCTCTGGAGAGACACAGGAAACTCAGGAACCACAAGGTTAGAAAATTGCTTCTGTGTTAGACGGATGTGCATTTCTAAGAATTTATCCTAAATTCCTAACTGGTCTCCAGAGGGGTCAAGACAGCTAAACAAGAACGGACAGCAAGAAGCCTCACTAAGGCAACAACAATGATATACTCTTTAATCTTCCTATTTTGGATTTAGACCTCTGAAGTGATTCTCCAAGCCACCACGGCTGCCCCAGGCAGCACTACGGCTCAGCCTGGCTCAGAGGTCGTGCTCCGAGCCCTGCCACCAAGCACTTTGGTCACTCGTGCCAACTGCTGTCTTACACTGGACATTGCAAGGGGAACCATGGACAGCGCCATGTGTCTCCAGGGAAGAGGAAGGCCAGCGGCCAGCAGCCCTCTGCCCTGTGAGATCTGACAAGAGCTAGGGCCTGAGGTTCCCTTCAGACCCTGGGTGGAACATGCCTTCACCATCAGCAGTGCCGAGAGCCTTTGGGCCACTGTGAAACAAAAATGGCTTTCCCATCAGCCATCGGCGGGGCCCACCAGGCCACTGCCCCATGGGCGGTTGCTGGGATAGGCCAGACGAAGCTCCCCTTTATCTGAGTGGCATTTTAGTGTTCTATCTCTTCCCCTCGACTCACCTACATTAAACTAGAAAAAAAGAAACGAACCCCACAGCCCTGTCCAGCAGCACCTTCCCCCTCCGCCCCGGGGGAACCCACACCTTCTCTGACCCCTCCGTGGGCCTTTATGCCCAAAGACGGAGAGAAGGGTATGAGCCTGTCTTTTCCCACCCCTGCCCCGCACCCCCCAAATATGAGAACTTAGTGGCATCGTCCCTCAAGCTCCCCAGCTTTGGCTTCAGAGTCCTCTTCCTTGGGGTGGAGCTGGTGTTACTGGTGAAGATAGGCGTCCAGCCAGAGCTGCCCCGACTCCTTCAGAGAGCTGCAGGAAAGAGGGGCAGGTGGTAAGGCACTCGGGGGGAGCTGCGCTCTCAAGCGGGGCAGGCGCTAGGGAGAGGCGGCCCTGACTACCTGGCCTCTGGGCTTCCTTCCCCTCTGCCTGCAGAAACACTTGGGCCTTGGCACCCAGGTGAGCATCCATGGGCCCATAGTGCTCCCTGCCCTTGCCACGGCCACCTCCACTTAGGAGTGGGCCACCTCTGGTACCCTGCCCTGCCCCATGCATACAGCAGCAGCTCCCCGCTGGGTCCCGGTACTCACTGGACAATGTCAGCAAAGGCCGAGAGCAGGGGCTTGGACTGGTACTTGATACCATGCTTGGCACACAAGGACTGTACCAGGGGCGCCACTTTGTGGTAGTTGTGCCGGGGCATGGTGGGGAAGAGACTAGAGAGAAGGGCAAGGTCAGAGAGTCCTGGTGCTTCACATGCCCACCCCCCACCACCCTTAGCTTGTCTGGCTTCCCGGGCCGTCCTACTCACTGGTGCTCGATCTGGAAGTTGAGGTGCCCACTGAACCAGTCATTGAAGGCAGACTTGTGGACGTTGCATGTTGCCTGGAGCTGGAGGAGGTCAGAGAACAGTGTGTCCCTGGGCTCGGCCAGCCCAGCCTCCTCCAGGTAAAGACGGCCAGTCCTGCATATGCCCTTCTCAAGGTGGCAGCCAACGAGGCAGTGCTGTCTGGGGGCTCTTCCCGCTCCCCCATCCCTTACCTGGGTGGAGACCCAGTCCTTGTTCTGGTCATAATCAATGTGCATGGGGATATGGTTCATCTGTGTCACCCACACAAACCAGTTGCTCTCCAGGAACCTGTTGCAGGAGGCACACACCGGAACAGTCCGGAGCCCGGCCTTCTCAGCCTCCCAACCCATCCACCCTCCCGCACACCTCCCACCTGTCCCTACTCTCCCAGGCCATCATCCATGCCTCTCCCGCCAAGTCCTACCTGACAATGAAGAAGAGGCCCAGAAAGCCCTTCAGCCCCAACAGGGGCACGTAGCTGAGCGAGATGCGGACATAGAAGGTGATCATCCAGGCCAAGTCCTGCGGCAGGAAAGGCAGAGGGAACAGCTCTTCCGTGCCTGCTGCCCTTGGCGGCCCCACCCTTGGTCTCTCAGTGTCACCAGGGACTGGACCCCTCTGGGACCTCTGTGTCTCCAGTTCTTCCCCAGCCCTTCTGGCTGCCTGTGACTGAGCAGCACGGCCCAGTCCAGGCCAGTGTCCTAACCAAGTCCCCATCCCCTCCTCTGTACAAATGCCTTACTCAGAACAATCTCTGCTGGCCTTACTCCTTAACTCCCAGCCTCTCTGTGCGACGCGTTCTCCCCTCCCCAAGCTCTGCCTGTCCTCCATGACCAGCCAGAAAAGCCAGACACAGGCCCCTTTTGGAATGCCCATAACCTTTTGGCTTGTATCTCTTCTGCTATCAACCACATTCAGCTTTATTGAGCTTCTTCAAAATGGGTACATCTCCGCTTCCTCCCCATCCTCAGCCTGGTCCCTTCTTGGCTTAATGCCCAGAGCTAGGGCCTCTGGACTTTAGGAGCCAGGCTACCTTCAGGGCCCTGCCACCTCATCCTACCTAGTGGTCAGATCTGTACCCGGCTTTACTGCTCAAAGGCCAGTCTCAGCTTCCCCAGGAAAACCCTCCCCTCCCCAGGCAAATGAAGGTGGGGTCCCGGGGCCATGGATACTCACCACCCACTTCTTCCGCTGGAAAACAAAATAGAAAATATACCACTGGAAGTAGAGAGGCAGCAAGGCTGGGGGCCCAACTGGGGAGCAAGCAGAAGACAGGAGGCCTGAGCAGCGGCTGGTGACAGGGCTGCTCGGTGCTGGGGCACCTGCTGTGCCATACCCTCCCGCAGCCTCGGTGCTCCTCCAGCCACTGGACCCAGCAGACAGCGATGGTGGGCGTGCATGGAAGGCCGGGGCCAGCCGCACCTCCGAGGATGCCAGGGAGAGCAAGGGGTGGGAGTGGTGTTCTTTTCCAGGGGAACAGGGCAGCCTAGGAATGTGCTCTGCTCCAATGCCTTTAAAAGGGCACTCCTGGGTGCTGCCCTGGCCACTGTGCCCCTGCCATGGGCCCTCCTCTTGGTCCCAAGCTTATCCCTGCTGCCATCTGTCCTGTGCTCCTGCCTGCTTCATCATGCAGGTGAAGGGACGGGGCAGGAAAGTGAGAGAGTGTGTGTGTGTGTTCAGCAGGAACCTGCAGATGCCTCATAGGCTGGGCCCTATTTCCTTGGACTGTAGAGGTGGCCTTGGGCCACCCCAACCTGCAGCGCTAGAAGGCAGCTGTAAGAATGAACAGCAGGAACTCTTTGAGAACACAACCGGGAGCTGAAGAAGTGGACCTCACTTCCTTGTCTACAGCCAGCTCTAACCTCTTGCAGAGCCCGCTGAGGCCCGGGATCCTAAAGTTCCTTCTTCACAAAGTACCCGTTCCACTCTACCCCTTCTTTAGTAGGGGTAGCTGGGAACAGGAAGCTAGGATAAACTTCAGTCTAAACAGCCTCCTTCCCTCTCTGCCTGTAGGAACTGAAAGCTCACATATTTTAGGCATGAGGGGAGACTTTAGAGCAGTCTTTGGAAGGCACATAAGACAAGCATAGGGCATCTAGCTCCACCAGCTCCTCCCCTGTACCTTTGCCTTCCCGGGGCGCTGACCCAGGTCTCTGACAAAGATGAAGGTTTTGAGGCTTGATCTTGACAGTGCCACCTGAGCACTGAGCTTCCTCAGGCAAACTGGGGTGGGCTGCGAGGGACTGGTCCGTCTGCACACCAATGCCCTTTAGGCAAACATGAGCCCGCGAGGCGGTCTTGCTCAGCAGCGGTACAGACTGCCCACGCAGCAAGGAACCGAGTCGGGGGCAGGGTGCTTTCTCTGCCCTTTGCCTGAAAAGGCTGCAGTCTCTTGGTAAGCTGCTTCCGCCTCACCCCCTCCACACCACAACTCCTGGGTAGGTCAGGACACTCACTCAGGAAGAAGTATTTGTGCTGATGGTTGTACGGCATGTACTTTTTCTTCTGTTTCCCAAGCTGTGAAAAAAGCAAGGAAGTCAGGACCCCCTCGTGACCTCAGCCTTTTCCTGCTCAGAAGGTTAGGCCTGGTACGGGAGCTAGAAGCTCCTGGCCGCTTTCAGCAGGCCCAGCCTCGCTCGCAGCCACGGCACATGACGCTGTGGGCTGCCTTTTGTGGACTGTGCCAAGGCCTCTAGCTCAGCATCCCATGTTCACAAAAGGCATGCGCATGACACAGTCTGCAGGTCTCTAAGGCTCCTATGTCCCCCCCCCCCCCCCGCGACACCTCTGTCGTATTTCCCCACTGCCTTTTTTCTTCCTCCCACATGGTAATTTTCAGACACAGTGGAAAAGTAGTTTCAACCCTAGACAGGAAAGCTTTCCCTCTGTGTCTAGCCTCTAACCCTTCTCCTCAAAGCCTTCTAGCCTGCTGCCTTCTGCATGAGCTTTACAAACATCCCTTGCAAGTTATGCCATGCTTGGCACGTTTGTAGAAACGATACCAAGAACAACTTGGCAACCTGAAGGTTGCTGGCAGTCCACCCCAGCGGTTGGTTGTCTAGTGGTTATTTTGTAAGTGTGGGTGCGGAGTTTGAGTTTTATGGTGAGGTGGGGGTAAAGGATTGGAGATTGGTGATGTATGGGGGGAGGGAGGGAGAGGGAGATATAAGAGGGAGGAAGTAGGATGATAAGGAGGGATGGTGGGTGAAGGGAGAAATGTGATGGGGAGTGACAGGGTATGGTTTTTGGGTGGGTGGGGTTTGTATGTGTATTGGTTGTTGGTTTGTGTATGATGGAGGTGTATGTTTGGGTTGAATAAGGGGGATGGAGGGATGAGGTGTGGGATAATGGGTGGTGGAGGGGGAGGATGGGAGGTGAATGAGGGAGGTGTTGGGGAAGTGTTTTGAGGGTGGTTGGGAATTGGGGGGGGAAGAAAAGGGGAAAGGTTATGATGGGGTGTTAGAGGTTTTTGAGGATAAGAGGGGGAAGTGAAGTGAGAGGGGAATGGGGGGGTTGAGGGGTGGGTTAATGGGTGGGTTTGAGTTTGTTTGTTTTTTTTGGGGTTTATTTAGTTGTGTTGTGTGTTGGTGTGTTTGTAATTGTGGTGTTGTTTGGTTTTTTTGATGTTGTGTGGAGGTAATGAGAGTGGGATAGAATTTTGAGGTTAGGTGAATGGAGGTGGGGAATGGTGAATGGTTAGAGAAGGGAAGGAAGAAAGAGGGGGGGGGGATGGTTAATGATAAATAATGAAGGAAATAGGGAAGATGATTTATAAGGTATGTTAGAGGGGTTTGATATGGATGAGAAGAAGGATGGGATATGATTTGGAAAGGGAAGAGAATGGTTGAGGAAGTGGGTTATGAGGGTGGGAGGTGGATTATTAATATGTGGTAATGAGTGGGGATGGAAAGGGGAGAGGTGTAATTGTGGGATTTGGGGTATTGGGGGAAGGAAGATAGGTGGGGTGATAAGTGGTGTGGTTAGTACATTTTACAACTGAACAGATTAAAAGCAGGAAAATGGGACAGACAGTGCAAGTGTTCTGGTGGAGGGATCGCGTCTGGTGTGCCTTAGACACTGACATCCGGACTTGGGCCTGATCGATGAGTAAACCAGACAACGTGTGATCTCGGAGGGTCTCAGGCTTCGCTAAGGAGTGTGGCTTCTAACGGGAAGTCACTAGAGCACTTCCCACACTCTGCTTTACAAGTTTCGCTCTGGCTGGACCTGAGAAGGAGCAGCAGGGTGCAGGCACAGTTGTAGGGAGACCAGTGAAGACACGGAAGCTAATCCAGACCAGAGACGGACCAGAGCCATGGAAGGCTGACAGACTTGGGATCTTTCGGAAGGCAGTGCAAACGGCATGCAGAGGAACTGGGTGTAGTGGTGAAAGTGGGTGTAGCGCTTAGGGTTGGGGCTGGGGGGGGTGCCACCCCAAGCAACATAACAAGAGGGGGCCCTGGAAGCAGAGCCACCTTCTGGGGTTGAGTGAGACAGACCCTGTGAAGGAAAGACGTGCCTTCCGCTGCCGCCTCCTGTTGAGATCCTTGGTCAGAAGGGTTCTGTTTAGGCAAAGTAGTCCTGCTCCCTTCTTGTGTTTCAGTGGCACTGGGAGGCCCTAGGAGGATGCCACTGGCTCCGCACTGGCATCGATCTCAAATTCATCCGCACCCAGATGAACTGAGCGCAGCCCTGGGCAGCCTGAAATGGGGCATTCACCGACAGGCAGCCTGCTCTCAGCCTCCTAGCTGGGGGAGTCATGGGAGGGAGAGAACAATGGGCCATTCTAGATCATTCTCTGCTTTTGCTACCTGAAGACAGGGATTTCCTAAAAACCCTAAATCAAGAGACAATGAAGGCAGTGGTGTACAAAGGTTCCCTTCCAGCTAGCTTCCTTTAAAAAGACTCCAGTAACAACAGAAATGCTACCAAGAGCTCAGTATAATGCTCATCCTGCTGCCCTAGAAGCAGCTACTGCAGCCAGGGGTGGGGGTGGGGAATAAGCCTCCAGCTACAAGCTTCTCAAGCCAGGACAGCCATCACTGCCATCCCAGAGGTCTCATGGCCAGGGGGGAGGGAGGGGGAAAGAGAGAGAGAGAGAGACAGAGAGAGAGAGATTGAGAGATTGAGGAGAGGAGAGCCAGGCTACCTTGAACTCATGCCTGGGACTGAAACTTGTTCAATGACAGTTTAATCCTGGCAAGCTGAAATGTCATAAAGTGGGGGAGGAGGAGCTGGCAGAACTCTGGCTGCAGCCTGGAGCTTGGAACAAAAGGGTTTTAAATGAACTCTGCAAAGAACTCGGCTGGCCATTGAGAACCTTCGACTGCCTGGTGCGTACTAAAAACTCACTAAGTCTCTACCCAGGCACTCTTCTTTCAGTAGGTGCGTTACCATTTCTGCTCACTCACAGCCTCAGAGGACATTTCCAGCCCAGTGCTGACTGCCGTGGAAGTCAGTCTGCGACCAGAAGAAGGGTGAGAAAAAGTTGTTCCACAGTATCTGTGGAGGACTGGTTCTAGCACACCCACCTTGAAAAATAGCAAAATCTGGGGCTGGCATGATGGCTCAACTAGCTAATCCTCCCCCTGTGCAAGTACAGGATCCTGTATGGGCGCTGGTTCATGTCCCAGCTGCTCCACTTCCCACCCAGCTCCCTGCTGTGCCCTGGGAAAGCAGTAGAGAATGGCCCAAAGTCTTGGGACCCTGCACCCACGTGGGAAACATGAAAGAACATCTTAGCTGCTGGCTTCAGATCAGCTTAGCTCTGGCTGTTGCGGCCATTTGGGGAGTGAACCAGTGGGTTTTTCTGTCTCTATTCTCTGTAAATCTGCCTTTTCAACAAAAATAAATAAATCTTAAAAAAAAAAAAGCAAAATCTGCAGATAAGACCCATTCCTCCATACACTTTACATCATTTGTAGATTGCTTACAACACCCACTAGAGTGTAAGTGCTATGCAAAGAGTTGTTTTACTGCACTGCTCAGGGGAGAGTCTACACACTGGATGCAGATGGACTTTTTTTCTTACTAACATTTCTGGTATGCAGAAGGCTCAATTCAGAGGCAGAACCAATAGATATGAAAGACTGATGATTCAATGAATAACTGTCCTAGGTACTGAGGGATTAAAGATCAGCCAGATAGTCCAGCCCTGGACAGGGAGACTGGACACAGCAGGACTTCCAAGTACAAGAGGTAGAAAGACAAAACGCAAAGGGAGCGACTGCCTGGGACAGGAGTGTCACAAAAGCTCTCCCGACTCGAGTCAACGACAGGGGCTCGGGCAGTCCATCTCGGGTCCTGCTGCAGCACGGGTACTTCACACAGAACTTACTGGCTGCTGGGACTCACTCTAGGCAGGACAGGTGAATCAGTTCTGGGCACCCCTCCTTTAACTACCATGCAGCGGGGACCCAACCAGCCCATCCAACAACATCGTGAGCATTTCTCACCAAGCCCTCTGTGCTGGCTGCCTTCCACTCCCCAGGACCTTTCCAATGACGCCTCTGCTCACCTCCACAGAGAGGATCTTCCCCAGGGCAAAGAAGAAAGGATGCATGTTGATGTCTGGGTCTTTGCGAAAGCAGTTGGGTTTGGCATGGTGCTGGAAGTGCATGTGGTTCCACCAGCTGGCAGGAGCCCCCTGTAGAAAGAGAGAGGAGTTCCGAAAGGTGCTATCTCCCACCTCCCAGGTTCTGAAGGCTCCTCTCCCACATCACTAACCTTTAGGTGGCCAATCACAAAATGATGCAGTAGGTGGTTCCATGTGGAGGTGCTGCAGACAGACAGGTGCCCGAAGTCATGCTGCAGCCAACCAGCCTGGGCCTGGGGGAAGGGTCAGTACTGAGAGCAGCCCACAGGACCACGTCCTCTCCAACCTCCCTTCCTTCATCCGCTCAGGGCTGAGATAGCCACACCACCCCCACGTCCCCAAACAAGCATATCAAAGAAAGAAAACCAGGAAACCTGGGTCCCAATTCCGGCTCTGCCACTGACTCATGTGTGAGTTGGGACAAATCACGATGCCTCTCCCTCCTTCAGTGTACCCATAGTGCCAAGACTTGGGACAAACTGACACCAGAGTACGGAAAGGATTCAGAGGTGAGTAGACTTGACAAATGGCCTCTGAGGGCCAACTATCAGATCCCAATCCCATATCGGGCAGTGCCGGTATTGGTGGTTAGGGAACCAAAACCGGGTCTTGGTTCTTAGCACCCTCGGGCTGTGGTAGGACCTGAAGTTGAAGTTACACAGCACAAACTCCACAGGAATGGAATCCTGAGTGGAACTGCTGCAGAGGCAGAGAAACGAAGTCATCCATGTGGCTGAAGAGCAGACAGAAGCCACAGAGAGCGGCATATATGTTGTTCTTCTGAACCCACTCGCCAAAAGAACTTTGATTGACTCTAGTCAGAGGACACGGCTTCACGGCCTTCTGCAGGTTCCTAGGAGCCTCTGCCCCGATGATGGGTATGGCTGTGCTCGCACCTGAACCGTGCTGAGCAGCACTGCGCAGAGGAGGAAGGGTACCAAGGATGTCCCGAAGACCCAGAGAGTGAGCCAGGCGGCCACGTCCAGCAGCAGGATGTGCAGCAGGTACAGCAGGAAGAAGACGGGGTTGGTCTTCATGAGTCCCATCCGCTCCACGGTGGCCCGCAGCTCCCGGAACTCGTTCGTCAGCTCCTTCTGCAGGAGAGTGGGGAATGGGGAGCAGTGGTTATTCCCAGCACTGCTGGAGCCAAGCGCCCGCTCAGGCCACACAGCCCTAGACCAAGACACCATGGTGACAAACAAGGCTGACAGGGCAGGTGCTGCGGGAGCCTCCAAGTTCCACGGACCTGGTCACTGTCCCTGCTCTGCCATTGCTATCTGTGGGATCCTTGGCCTCTGGCTTGGCCACTTCCAGGAATTTATGGTTGGCACATGCTAAGTGCCCAGGAAATTAAGTCCTGGTGGTGGTGGTGGTGATGGCAGCCTTGGGCCTCGGGGGGTCCTGAGTTTCCAGGGAGCTGACTGAGGGCTCCCTTGGGACTCCATCCAGGTTGGCTTTCTGCCCCCTCCCCCTCAATCACCAAGGCTCCCAAGCACAAACAGGGTCTCACATTCTTAGTGGGCTCAAAGCTGGGCTGCTCCGGAGAGAGTTCTCCAATGAGGAGAGAGTTCATGTACTTCCTCACGAGGCCCTTGTCGATGTGGAATGCCACAAAGGGATCCTGCAAGCGAGGGGAGAAGGCGGGTGAGGGGCGCAGCTCCAGCACCCCGCACTCCCGCAGGGTGCAGGCATGCCACAGGCCGGCCTCCTGCTGGTCAGACAGCAGGCTGAAGATGAACAGAAGATACCGTGCCACCTTCCTCCCGCCAGCTGCCCTGAGAGTGCAAAGACAGATGTCCACAACCGCATCTCACCACCATCTGTGTCCCGTTAGCAGTGGTGCCACACCAAGCAGTGCCATAGTGCCATGGTGAGACCCACCGAGACGGCCAGGGCTGCTTTTCCCTCCCCCGGGGGGAAGGGGGTGTTTGGGGACCTTTTGTCCATGGTTTAAACATGGTTGAAAAACAGGGGGACTTGGCGGCACTTTCACAAGTCTACATTTTCTGGGCCGCAGTTCTCTGCTGAGGAGGTCTCCTATCCCACTAGGGGACCTAGCCAATCTTTCCCCCTTTCTTCTACTGTTCCGGATAGGGCCGGGTATTTCCCCAGGACCCTGACCACCCCACAGTCCCCACAGCGGCTGATTTTGGTTATGTGAGGTGGGGTCTGTTACCAGATCAGGGGTCCCCCCCCCCTGGAGGGTTGCGGGGATGCAGGGCGGAGCCGGCAGTCGGTGGTACCACGCATCCCCACCAATCGCCTTGCCGGCGTCTCTGGCCCCAAGTCCCCACCGCAGGGGGCAAACCCAGACAGCTGGCTCGCTGTGACCGCACATGCGCAAGCCCAGGCCTGCCGTGGACACCAGGGGTAACCCGTGCAGGCCGCGGCTTGGTCCTCTGGGTGGGCTGCCTGCGAGGGGAGTGGCGGCTCCTCTCCCACAGCGTTTGCAGCGCCTGGTGACGACAGGGACGCGGAGGCGCTCAGGGGTGTTAGGGCCGCTGGACAGGAGGAAATGTACAAAGCAATGACCCTCCCTCCTATCCCAGGCAGCCTTAGCGACAGGACTGGGCTGGGGGCGCGCTTCCCCCTCAGGAAGGCCCAGGGAGGAGAGGAGTGACCCCAGCACGGCCCCTCGCTGAAGCGCCTGCGGATGCCGGCAGCCCCACCATGCACACCCGCCACTGTCTGCACCGTGCAGTGGGGTGCCCGTGTCTGGCCCCTATGCACGGGTCAGCTCAGTGGAGACGAGCGGCAGGTCGGGACTCCGTGTCCCCAAACACTGCCCCCCCCCACCCTCGGGAGGCCAGCGCGGGAGCTGGGGGTCGTGTTGCTCCGGGAGAAGCCCACAGCCTCGGGGCTACCGAGGATATGCTCGGCTGGGCATCACAGCCCTTTGTGTGCATGCATGCACGTTGCCATCTCCATCCCCTCCCCGGGGGGCTCGTCTTCCAGGCCTCCTTCCCGCCCTTGCCAAGGGCTCCCCACCACCCGGCACCTAACCGGCCGGGCCTCTCTCCCTACGGATTCACTGTCGTTCCGCCTAGGATGCCGAACTTCCTGTTCTCCCCTCGGGAGCTGCAGCTGCCCCGGGCCCCTCCCCGCCCCGCCCCGCGCCGCGCCGCTCACTGTGGCATCCTGCCCGGCATAGTGGCTGATAACCCGGGAGCCCCCCGGGTGCCGGCGGACAAAGTCGCTGATGTTGTACACCTTCCGGTCTATCACCAGCCACCGCTCCTTCTCGCGTCCGGAGCGCTGGGCCACCTCGTCCCAGGTGAAGTAGCGTGGAGTCTCGGGAGCCATGAGGCACAGTGCCCGGGGCCTGCGAGGCGCGCGCTCGGGGGCAGCTCGGTGCAGCGGCGGGAGGCGGCTGGGCTCGGCTCGGTGCAGCGGGAGGCGGCTCGGCTCGGCTCGGCTCGGCTCGGCTGGGCTGGGTGCAGCGGAGGCGGCTGGGCTGGGCTAGGCTGAGCTGGGCTGGGTGCAGCGGGAGGCGGCTGGGCTGGGAGGCACCCGGAGGCACCCGCCGCCCGCGCCCCGTTTTCAGCACCCCGCGGCTTGCGGACCGCCGAGCCCGGCAGCGCGCGCTCCGATTGGCCACGCCGCGTGGCGCGGGGCAGCCGGCCACGCCTCCGCCGCCAGCCCCGCGACCTTGGACGGCTGCCGGCCTCTGTTGAAGGGGTGGCCTCCGTCCGCCGTCCGAGCAGAGTCCGCTGGGGCGTCGGGGCGCCGGTCGCCGGCGGGAGGCGCGGGCGGACTAACGGTCCCTGTGGACGCCCGGGGGTGTGGCCGCCGGCCGGGGGAGGACGACTTAACCGGGCTCAGGCTTGTGGGAGTGGGGCGGAGCCCCGAGTGGGTGGGTTCAAAGAGAAAACCCTTTAAATGAAACTTCGCAGAATGCATCTGAGGGGAAAAAAAAAAAAAGGCAAAAACTCTGGTTGCTGCTTCGGCGCGCTGCCCCCGGCCGGCTGCGCGGGCGGGCTTTGTGGACACAGGGAAGCTGCCTGATTGGCCTGGCCCTTGGCGTTCTCCTTATTTGGAAGTGGCTGAGGGGACCGCAGCCTGTGATTGGCCGCGGCCCTGGGTGTTTTCCTTATTTGGAAGTGGCTGAGCGGTCCGCAGCCTGTGATTGGCTGACAGCTCGGCCACCGTCGTTAGCTGAGGTGCCACTTCTTGGGCGCTAGAACGCTCTGCACGTACTAACCCGGTTGGTTTGTTCATTTGTTCGCTTCAGTTCTAGGAGAGTAGCGGTTAGGCCGAATCGAACAATTACACCGCGATTTTTTGTTTTATTTTGTCTTTTTAGATGAAGGTAGATGTGTTGGCACAATGTATGGGGAGTGTGCTGGTATAGACCATGTGGAATGGCAAAATTATTTTTACCTCAGATCATTAGGATGTTCATGGTGTCAGGACTTAACAGCCACTTTTTTTCTTTCTCATTTTGGAAGCATACACTGTGGCGTTGCTAACTATAGTTCCCTTGCCGTCCAATCTGGCTCTTGAACCTACCTGATGATTATATGTCTTCTAATCCTCTTTCCTAACCAGTCCAGTTTCTGAGAGTGAGGGTTTAAAAAGGCAGAGTGACAGGGAAAGTCAGAGAACTCTTCCGTCTGATGATTCACTCCCAAATGGTTGCAACAGCTGGATCTAGTTCTAACAGGAGCCGGGAATTCCATCCTGGTCCTCCATGTGGGTGGCCGGAGCCCAGGGGCTGTTCCTGTGTCAGGTCAGCTGGGAGCTGGAGCGCAAGCAGAGCAGCCGGGCCAAGCTGGCATCTGCTACGGGATGCCAACGTTAGAAGCTGTGTCTTGACCCGCACCAAGTCCCTGTGGGACCAGTTTTTTTTTCCTCCCAGTCTACGAATTAGTGAATTCACTTGGTGTTTGACCCTCTGTCCAGAGCTAGTTTTCTTAATGTCCTTCAGTTTTATCTGTGATGTTTTAAATGTTAGGTTTTCATTCTTTTTATGGCTCAATACTATCCCATCATGTATATAGGCCACATTTTCTTTACCCCTTTGTCCATTTGCTCATGGATACTTAGATAAATTCATATCTTGGCTGTTGTGAGTTTTCTCCCGTTTCCTTCTAGTGAATTAATAGTTTGGACTCTTACGTTTTAATCTTTTAATACGTTTTACGTTGAATTTGCGTATGATGAGAGAGAAGGGTTTACTCTCGTTCTTCTCCAGTTTGCCTGGCACCAGCTCCTAAAGAGACTGTCCTCTGGAAAGACTGGCCAAGGCCTTGGGCACTGACACTGCTAAGGTCCTAAGGTGCTGGCTTCAATCTCAGTGTGCAGTTTATAATTTGCAATGCCAAATTAGGTAATTCCATGTGCTTTCTTCACGTTTTTATAGCTCATGCCGTATCATAAATGAAACTTTTTTTTTTTTAAAGATTTTTTAATGGTTGCCAACACTGTGGTATGGTAAGCTAGGCCTCTACGTATGGCACTGGCATCCTGTATGGGTACCAGTTAGACTCCTGGTTTCAAAGCAGCTCAGCTCCAGCCATTGTGACCATTTGGGGAGTGAACCAGTGTGTGGAAGGTATCTATCTTCCTCATTCTGTAACTCCCACCTTTCAAATAAAGATTTTTTTATTTATTTGAAAGGCACAGTTAAAACAAGAGAAAGGTCCTCAGTCTTCTGGCTGCAACAGACAGTCTGGAGCTCCGTTGCTGTGACCCATGTAGCTGCAGGGGTCCAAACATTTGGACCATCTTCTACTGCATTCCCAGACTTCTTAGCAGGGAGCTGGACTGGAAGTGCAGCAGCCAGGACTTGAACCAGCATTCTTCTTCTTCTTCTTCTTTTTTAAGATTTATTTATTTTATTTTGATTGGAAAGGCAGAATCACAGAGAGGAGGAAAGACATAAAGAAAGAACTTCCGTCCAGGGGTTCACTCCCCAAGTGACCTCAATGGCTGGAGCTGAGCTGATCTGAAGCCAAGAGTCAGAAGCTTCTTCTGGGTCTCCCCCATGGTTGCAGGGTCCCACGGCTTTGGGCCATCCTTGACTGCTTTCCCAGGTCACAAGCAGGGAGCTGGATGGGAAGCAGATCAGCTGGGAACTATCACCCACATGGGATCCCGGTGCATGCAAGGGAAGGGTTTAGTCACTAGGCTACTATGCAGTGCCCTTGAACTGGCATTCTTGTGGGATGCCACCTTCCTTGCAGGTGGTATGATGTAGCCTGACATGCCACAATTCTGGCCCCAAACAACACCATGTGATAGACAAAGAAAGGCTCCATATGAATAGTTAAAACTCTTGGGGGAATCCAAAACATCAGGGGGCTTATTACATCAGGCAAATAATACCAAGAGAAAGGGTACAGTCCTTAACAGAAGTCTCTGCACTGTGTTGAGCAAAATCGAGGCAAAAAAAGGTAGTTTAGGGCCTGGCATGATGATTGGCTAATCCTTTGCCTTGCAAGCGCCAGCATCTCACGTGGATGCTGGTTCATGTCCTGGCTGCTCCACTTCCCATCCAGTTCCTTGCATATAGCCTGGGAAAGCAGCTTAGCTCTGGCTGTTGTGGTCACTTGGTGAGTAAATCAGCAGATGGAAGATCTTTCTCTCTGTATTTCCACTCTGTAAATCTGCCTTTCTGATAAAAATAAATCTTTTAAAAAGTAGTTTAACAGGTTTAAATTCCAATTGATCATAGTCTTTTTTTTTTTTTCCAAGACATGAGGCTGACTAAAGACCAGAGTTTGCTGTGAAATGGTGTGATTTCAAGGGGTACCCACGGAGAGGTGTTTCTGCTTCCATTTCCATCTTCTGCTTTGAGAGACGATAGTGATGATGTAAGTAGTTGAATCCCTGCTACTCGCATGAGAGACCCAGACCAGAAATTTCTGGTCCCTGACTCTTGCTTTGGCATCCTTCCATGTACTTTTATATATCAACTATTTGTGTATCAGTCTGTTAGCTACTTGCCTAGCAAATAGTGCAGGGAGAGAACGTGCACTGTTCCTTGCTATCATACCGCATCAACGCCTAGGGATGAAGACGGTCAGTCATTGGATGTTGGTCAGTCATTGGATGTTGGTCAGTCATTGGATGTTGGTCAGTCATTGGATGTTGCCTTAGAGGCCCCAGTGTGGGGAGTTATCTGGATTGTTCTTGACAGTCGTTGACTTTGTTAAGAGGTTAGGAATTCTATCTAAGGCCTTTTGTCCTCATCTACCTCAGTGTGCCCACAGGCCTAGGTGCTGACTGCAAAACCTGGCCTGGGGTGTTGTTCGGCCTGTCCTTTCCACTTCTGAGGGACTACTTGAAGTCTTCTGTTGACTTATATGAGTTGGCTGTCTTGATTTTCATGTTCATCTGGGTATACTCTCCATTATTGCACAAGGGTAAGTCACTGCGATGGTCCACGGTCCTACAACATGTGCTCCAGGATCAGACTGCATGACTGCGTGATTTTCCCTTGTGTCAGGGATTGGGCACAGTGTTGTAGTTGAAGAACCCTCTAAGAAGCTTCACCTGGGAGGTCCTCAGCCTTTGCTCTTATGAGTGCCAGCTGATGTACAGTTGATTCAGTCTGCCCTTTGCCCCAGCAACTGCACTTATACTGGTGGGTACAGCTGCCTGATCAGTCCCACCTCCTAGCCCTGGCTCTCATGTGCACTAGAGGGGTGCTGCCACATAGCACGAGTATCCTCAAAAATCACCTACTAGGCTTACCCAGCTTTGGTTTTCATGCATACTGGCTACAATCCATCCTAGCATGGCCCACCCTCAGCCCTGACACTCACCAGCAGATGCTGCAGCCCAGCCTGGCCTGGCCTGTCACCAGTCCCAGCTAGCAGCAGTGATTGCTGTGGTCTAGCCTAGCCCATCCTTCCCTCAGCCCTGGCTGTCATGTATACTGGTGAGTGCTGTGATTTAGCTGGGGTGACCTCAAAGAATTCCTGCCAAGATCACCCGCAAACATGGCTCTCACGAGCAACAGTGAGTGCTGTGACCTAAGCCTGGTCTGGCTCTTGTGCACATTCGTGGGTACTTTGGCCTGATCCAGGGAGGCCCTCTAGATTCCCCCCTAAATAATACAGGCAATTATGCTAGCACACTGGTGTAGTTAACACAGAATTGGCATTAACCAGGCCCAGAAGGCACACCAGCTATTGACTGATTTTCTCCCAGTACTGTAACTCTTGCAACCTAGGTGGCTGCTTACAGCTGGGGAAGAAATAGAAATTTAAAAATTTTTCCTAGTATTCCATGTTTAAAGATATAGCATCCTGAAATTTTCTTAGAAAAAAATGTATAAGTCAAAAATATTCCTTGGAGCTGTATCTATGATCCCAAGAAATGGAAGCAATCTAATGCAC